TAAGGAGCGGGATGCGGAGCTGACGGCGAGCAAGGGAGTCGCACGCGGAAAGCTCTCGCTCTCTTGGTGAGTCTCGTCAATTTCAGCTAGATTTTCTTTTCGTTTTACTAATTATCTCTTTTGTGCTCTCTGTCTTGGTGCAGAAGGAGCGGGATTGGGAGCTTACGGCGCGCAAGGGAGTCACACGCGGAAAGCTCTCGCTCTCTCGGTGAGTCTCGTCAATTTCAGCTAGATTTTCTTTTCGTTTTACTAATTCTTTCTTTTGCGCTCTCTGTCTTGGTGCAGAAGGAGCGGGATGGGGAGCTTACGGCGCGCAAGGGATTCACACGCGGAAAGCTCTCGCTCTCTCGGTGAGTCTCGTCAATTTCAGCTAGATTTTCTATTCGTTTTACTGATTCTCTCTTTCGTGTTCTCTGTCTTGGTGCAGAAGGAGCGGGATGGGGAGCTTACGGCGCGCAAGGGAGTCACACGCGCAAAGCTCTCGCTCTCTCGGTGAGTCTCGTCAATTTCAGCTAGATTTTCTTTTCGTTTTACTAATTATCTCTTTTGTGCTCTCTCTCTTGGTGCAGAAGGAGCGGGATGCGGAGCTGACGGTGCGCAAGGGAGTCACTCGCGGAAAGCTCTCGCTCTCTCGGTGAGTCTCGTCAAGTTCAGCTAGATTTTCTTTTTGTTTTACTAATTCTCTCTTTTGTGCTCTCCGTCTTGGTGCAGAAGGAGCGGGATGCGGAGCTGACGGCGAGCAAGGAATTTACACGCGGAAAGCTCTCGGTCTCTCGGTGAGTCTCGTCAATTTCAACTAGATTTTCTTTTCGTTTTACTAATTATCTCTTTTGTGCTCTCTGTCTTGGTGCAGAAGGAGCGGGATGCGGAGCTTACGGCGCGCAAGGGAGTCACACGCGGAAAGCTCTCGCCCTCTCGGTGAGTCTCGTCAATTTCAGCTAGATTTTCTTTTCGTTTTACTAATTATCTCTTTTGTGCTCTCTCTCTTGGTGCAGAAGGAGCGGGATGCGGAGCTGACGGCGAGCAAGGGAGTCCCACGCGGAAAGCTCTCGGTCTCTCGGTAAGTCTCGTCAATTTCAGCTAGAATTTCTTTTCGTTTTACTAATTCTTTCTTTTCCGCTCTCTGTCTTGGTGCAGAAGGAGCGGGATGGGGAGCTTACGGCGCGCAAGGGATTCACACGCGGAGAGCTCTCGCTCTCTCGGTGAGTCTCGTCAATTTCAGCTAGATTTTCTTTTCGTTTTACTAATTATCTCTTTTGTGCTCTCTGTCTTGGTGCAGAAGGAGCGGGATGGGGAGCTTACGGCGCGCAAGGGAGTCACACGCGGAAAGCTCTCGCTCTCTCGGTGAGTCTCGTCAATTTCAGCTAGATTTTCTTTTCGTTTTACTAATTATCTCTTTTGTGCTCTCTCTCTTGGTGCAGAAGGAGCGGGATGCGGAGCTGACGGCGCGCAAGGGAGTCACACGCGGAAAGCTCTCGCTCTCTCGGTGAGTCTCGTCAATTTCAGCTAGATTTTCTTTTCGTTTTACTAATTATCTCTTTTGTGCTCTCTGTCTTGGTGCAGAAGGAGCGGGATGCGGAGCTGACGGCGCGCAAGGGAGTCACACGCGGAGAGCTCTCGCTCTCTTGGTGAGTCTCGTCAATTTCAGCTAGTATTTCGTTTACGATTCACTAACTTTCTCTTGTGTGTTCTGTGTCTTAGTGCAGAAGGCGCGCCATGGGGAGCGTCAAGGGAGGTCAAGAAGAAAAGAGTGCTCTCCCTATCCTGGTAAGCACGGTCCGGTTTCATTCGCTTTTCTTTTTTTTCGAGATTTCTAACTTCGAGTCTCGTTGTTTTGGTGATGCAGGAGGAGGAGGAGATCACGCGGCAACACCATCAACGGAGGTCAATAAGAGAACGCTCTCCTTCTCCTGGTAAGCACGGTCTGCTTTAGTTCGTTTCTTCTTTTTTCGTGATTACTAGCTTCGAGTTTCGTGCCTTTTGTGAAGCAGGAGCGGAGGAGGAGGAGCAGCACGTGGCGACACGGGAGGAAGAAGAAACGCTCCCTTTTCCTGGTAAGCACGGTCCGCTTTCGTTCGTTTTTACTTTTTTTTTCGTGAATTCTAACTTCGAGTTTCGTGCGTTTCTTGAAGCAGGAGCGCGTGGAGGAGGAGCACAGACAACACCTGGAGTGGTTGGGGGAGATACCACGCGGCGAGCTGTCCCTCTCTTGGTAAGCATCGTCAATTCCAGTTAGTGTTCTGTTTACGTTTCACTAAGTTTCCCTTTTCTGTTCTGTCAGGAGGAGCGGGATGGGGAGCTGGTGGCGAGCAAGGGGGTAAACGGAATGGTCTCCCTCTCCTAGTAAGTTTCGTCAGTGTTACCTAGTTTCCGGTCATTAGTCTTCTGATTTTGCCATTTAACGGCTATCTGTTTTCTGTTACCTAACGTTTTCATCCTTGCCCCTCTCTGCCTTTTAAATGCGGAGCACGGAGCACGGAGCAGGAGCACGGAGCACGGGCAACACTTGGAGCGGGCGGAGGAGGGAACACGGGGCGAGATCTCCCACTTTTGGTAAGTGTCGTCAGTTTCAGTAACTTTTTTTTTACGTTTTACTAAGTTCACTTTTTGTGTTCTATCTGAGTGCAGAAGGAGCGGGTGGCGAGCAAGGGGGTGCTGAGTTATCTCCCTATTTCTGGTAGGTTCCGTCAATTTCTGTTTCTTTCTTCCTTTTCGAAACACTAACGTCCTTTGTTGGTTTTTGTATGTGGGCAGGGGCATGAGCGGGCGCGGAGCGCGGGGAGAGAAGCCGCGCGCCTCGCTGGAGCAAGAAGCCTGGAGCAACCAGCCGTGTAAGTGGTTTGGGCCCTGGGTCCTTGGGTGGTCTAAGTTAGGAGCGTTAGTCAACGTTAGGGGCGTTAGTCAGATCGTTAGGCTCGAATTAGGCTTAGCCAGGAGACGCATTAGCCTTAGCTAGGCTCGGATCTGGGTTACTATCTAGTCTGGACCTAGGCTCGAATTAGCTAGGACGTTAGGTTCGGACGGTCAGGTTTGGTTAAGCATGGTTAGGTTCGGTTGGGATTGTTTTTCGATCTTCCCTCTCTTCCTCGCGCTGGTCAACCTGGCCGGAACTTGAACACTGTACCAAGGAGGTTGTTGTGCTCGAGGTGTTATATTTTGCTGCCCTGAATATAATTTTAACCGTCCCCCCTCCATTCTGCCCTGCAAATAAGTCCCCTCCCTCCCAATCAGGCCCCGAACGAATGACCAAGAACCAAGAACCAAGAAAGGCGAGAAGCTGTGGATCTGCACTGCTGATGCGGTGGTTGACACTTAGGGATCCTAGGGATCTTAGTAAGCACTTGTTTCTCTGTATTCGGCTATATAATTAACTCTGTTCATTACGACTATAGGTGACTTTGCATATTAGACGAATACACAAGGAAATAAGACGAAAACAAACCTTTGCTCATGCTGTGCAGAAAACCAATCCTGGCAGAGCTCAGGCAGCCATAGAACCACACCACACACGTACACCATAGATACGGAATAAGTTATACTACAGCAGCGACCTGTGACAGATTCCTTCCGCATCGTACGCTTGTCGCAGCGTCCATGTTAGTCGCAAAAGTTAGTTTCAGCTTTAGGATCATCGCTACTTATACTACGCTAATCAAAATACCGTCGCGATTACTTCGCGACCACCCGGCGAGCTGAATCCGTTGACGAATAACAGACTCTCCAATCTTCCTGTTCATACCGCTCGTGAACTATGGCGACGCGAAGGCTGAGAAACTTATTGCTATGCTTTATTTCGTCCTTTTTTGTGTTTTGCTGTTTAGATCGTACCCACTATTATTACTTCGCCGCGTCAGTCTCTAATTTGTAGTGTCGTCTGCGATTTCTCTGCTGCTTTTTGCCCTGAAACAAATCTCATAGTGGCGAGGCAAGTTACCATATTTTTTCTTCGTGCGACATGTTCCCGTCTGGCGAGCCATCGCCTAAACTGTCGGGGAGAAAGAATAACACGTTTGCACAGGCGGGAAGGCGTAAGGTATGTGGCCGCGTTCGCATGGCTTTAGTGTAGCGTACGTTAAGCAACACATGTTGCAAGTAAATTATGATGTTTCTGCTTTTAGGCTTTTTCGTTAACTTTTTTATCTTCTTACATATTAACGTGGCTTGTCTGTCACAGGCTTCCGGCATTCCGCCTTCCCTTTCATGCCCCATCTCGCTCTCCCGTCCCCACCCCCTTCTTTTCCCAAATCTCGACGCAGCTTGAGGAGTTCTGGCAGCGGAAATGAGCCACTGTGGCGTGTACAGGGGCAGGAGCCAGTGGTATGCAGCAAGAACATGGGACACACGATCAGGTGTGCAGACAGGCAACCGTTTCCAGGCGTGTAGCAGGGCATCAGCACACTGAACAAGAAGGACAATGGGCCTGCAGAAAAATCATGCGATCGGTGCTGGAGTGCGAGAGACAGAGCAACGCAGGAGAACGTAGTGCTTGAGAGGAGCAGTGGTGCTGCAACCAGTGCTAGCAGCAGCAGTTTTTATCGCGACGACTCGTATGACTGGCGTTTCCTGGTAACGGGAGTGTTGTGAGCACTTCTGCAGCAGATTCCTCTGAAGGCGAGGCAGGTTATGTTCGGATTGCTGGGAGCCTCGTTTTCAGTTAATAAGAACTGTTCTATGCTAGTGTGGCTACAGGCACTCGTAAAATGCTGGCCGTATTGTGGAGCTCAAGTGGCAAGGGAACCGTTCTGTTCTGCAAACACGCTCATGGTATATCCACCTCTTCTCGCTCGCACATGCTCGCACAATTGATGTTGGCATTTCCATCCTGCATTCTTTCAAAACGAACCAACCACCATTGCTTCAGCTACCACACACACTTGCTTTTTGTCAACAACACTTCATACACCACTTCCTGCCCTAATCATCTTCCCAGTTTCAGGTTCAAACTTCGGTGGGACGATGTTGACAGCACCCACTCCGGTAACATCTACGACCGGTGGATGATGGACCGGCCTCCTCCAAAGCATTCTTGGAGCGACTCCAATCCAAGGCATACATACGGTATGCCTGCTCCACTGAATTGGCCTTTCCAGAATTTTGTACTGAATCATGGCTGTGATTTAAGTGTAGCATCTGAATGAACATCACCATAGCCTCTGCTTGTGCTCTCCTTTCAACCCTGCAAAAAAAACTCATGTGTTGTCAAACATTTGTATCAATACAAACCCTACTGGGCTGCAGAGGAACAGCTCAACAACAACCTGGGTGCATTCAAGTATGCACATGTTATTGATCCCTTGGTCGTGCCTGTCATGCACTCTCCCGTGTGTCCTCATCATCCGCCTGCTCTCTGTTACTACTGCTTCTCCCTTGCTTGCACCTCCTGCTTAGCCTGCTCCACTGGATTGGCCTTTCCAGAATTTTGTACTGAATCATGGCTGTGATTTAAGTGTAACATCTGAATCAACATCACCATAGCCTCTGCTTGTGCTCTCCTTTCAACCCTGCAAAAAAAACTCGTGTGTTGTCAAACATTTGTAACAATACAAACCCTACTGGGCTGCAGAGGAACGGCTCAACACAACCACCCGGGTGCATTCAGTATCCACTTGCTATCAGTCCCGTGGTCATGCCTGTCATGCACTCCCCCGTGTGTCCTTTTCATCCGCCTGCTCTCTGTTACTACTGCTTCTCCCTTGCTTGCACCTCCTGCTTAGCCTGCTCCTGCTGCTGCACCTGCTCTTGTAAGTGGGGGGCGAACGTCTCGGCTACTAACAGGGGAAAGGCGATGGTGGCATCGCAATACACCTGCAAGTGGGGGTGGATGAATGGGAGGATGGAGGAGATGTGTGAGAGGGCAGAGGAGAGGGATGAGGAGGCAGGGGAGTGACTTTCCAGGGGATGTGTGTACCGGGGAATGGCGTTCATTGCCTCACCGTTCATCCGCCGGATGTCTGCAGGGAAACAGGGGGGGTGGTGGGGGAAAGATGTGGGGAAGGAGTTGCAGAGCCGCAAGGGAGGAACTGCTTTTGCAGGGAGAGAAAGCACCGTTCATTTGCTGGAAAGGGGGAGGGAGAGGGGGTGTGTAAGGGGAGTGGGAGATTTGTTGCGCATCATGGTGGCGTTGCAGATGTGGTGCTTCGGCAGCCCGCCTCCCGGAATGATCACTCCCGTGCGCCGGGGGGTGGCGTTCACTGCCTCACCGTTCATCCGGCGAATGTCTGGGAATGGGGGGAGGGGAGAGGGGGAGGGGAGAGGGTCAGGGGAGAGGGGGAAGGGGGTGTGTCAGGGGAATGGGTCGGGGGAGAGGGTAAGGGGAGGAGGGAGAGTGACAAGTCAACGTTTAATGGGAAGCAAAACCTCAATTCTTTCTACGTCCATGTGGTGGTGCAATCATCGCATTTCGTATTGCTGTATTGGTTTCAGTGTGTTGCGATAAAGAGGTTTGATCCAGGTAATGCAGGCAGACACGCAACGTCACACCAACCAAGGCAATGAAAGGCACGTGGAGAACAGAAATGCTTTACTTTCTTCAGCCAACCATTTAACCAGCTTGTGAAGGTCAGGCAAGCCAAGACACTGAAGTTTACTCCAGTCCAGGTACGATCCTCGAAACACTTGCAAGCATAAAATGAAGAATCACGTCTGAGTCGAACCAGACCCAGAGAGTCACCTTCTCACGTGAAGTAGCAGCTACATGGTCACTCTCACGGCACTTTCAAGTGGGGGTAGCGCCAAGCACTGCTTGCAGGCACGCCCTGGCAAAATCGTCGTATAGCTGGAGGCACCCAAAGGCCATCTGGATGGGCAGTTGCGAGGCAGGGTGGGGAGGGAGGTCAAGGGTGAGGAGGGAAGCTGGTGAATTCTGAGTCGACTGGAAAAAGGCGCGCCCTGGCTAAGTCGTCGTTCAGCTGGAGGCACCCAAAGGCCATCTGGGCAGGATGGGAGAGGAAAGAGAGAAAGAGAAGGACGGACGGAAAGAAGGAAGGAAGGAAAGAAAGAAAAAAAAAAAAAAAAAAAGAAAGAGAAAGAAGGAGAATGGAATGGAATGGAGAGGTGAAACCGGGGTGCAGGAGCAACAGGAAAATAGGCGAAAGCACAATTGTCTCAGCACTCACCCCTTTGGTCAACTTGTCCCCGCTCTCCTCTGCAAACCTCCCCAACCATGCAGCCATCACCCGCGGTATCCCTGACAGCCCCACCCCTGCACCCCCAGCACCACCGGCACCACCTGCAGCACCACTTTCATTTCAGCACTCACCGCTTTGGTCTGCTCGTCCCCGCTCTCCTCTGCAAGCCTCCCCAACCATACTGCCATCACCCGCAGCATTCCTGACAGACCCACGGCTGCACCCCCCGCACCACCCCCAGCACCGGCAGCTGTGGTGCTTCCGGTAGCAGAGACAGCAGAGGAGAGTAGGAGGCCTTCAGCTGCGACGGCAGCAGGGGGCAGCGAGAGGAGCAGTGAGGCTGCAGCGAAGATGGCACAGCGCTGCACGTAGGGCTCTGGATGCTGGGCGATGGGACTGCAGGGGTGGGGAAAGGGGCGGACGGGAGGGATTGGGGGAGAAAGAAGAGGGAGAAAGAGGGGCGAAGAATGGAAAAGAGGGGTTGCATTTAAACGCTATGCTTGAGGCTCCAGCGAAAATGGCACAGCGTTGCATGCAGGATGCCTCCCTAGGATGGCACGCCATCCAACAGGGTTTAGTTTTTTTTTTGCCCGCCGGTCAGGTCGGCGGTGGTCGACGGTCCGTCGACCCACCGTCGACCCCCAATCCATTGAGATATTCCAGCTGAGCTGGTTTTTGAGAATTCTCAAAAACCCCCGATCCGTTTGAGATATTCCAGCAGAGCTGCTGCAAGAGGGCAGGCGAGGGGACGAGGAGGCGGACGCATTTCCCCAGCAGCAGCAGCAGCAGCAGCAGCACGCGGGCGAGAACAACAAAGTTCCGCCCCACCCAGTCCACCCTGTGGCTCTGCCTGTCTGCCTGCCTGTTGCTCCACATCACCACTTTGCTCTGACCAGCCAGCCGCTCCAAGCAAGGCCAACCTTCACGCCACTCACCTGGCGTTGATGAATTCTAACAGTGCAGCCGCAAGGGGGAGAAGTGCGGGTGAAGGGGCGAGCAGGCGGAGGCACTTCCCCAGCAGCAGCAGCACGCGCGCGAGAACCACAAAGTCCCGCCCCACACAGTCCACCCCATGGCTCTGCCTGTCTGTTGCACACACCCGCATCACCACATTGCACAGAGTCGCCACACACTGATCACAGGCACACACCATCCAAGCCCAACCTCAAAAGCCCTCACCTTGCGTTGAGGAATTCGAGAAGAGCAGCGGCGAGGGGGAGCAGAGCAGGTGAAGGGGCGAGGAGGCGCAGGCACTTCCCGAGAAGCAGCAGCACGCGCGCGAGAACAACGAAGTCCCGCCCCACCCAGTCCACCCCGTGGCTCTGCCTGTCGTACGCTCTCATCAGCGGCAGCATGAACCCCGCCGCCACGTCAGCGAATCGCACACGTGGCGCTGTACACGTGGACATATCACGCTGACTGTGCAGCTGCTTGTTCTGACCGCTGCTTCCGAGAAGGTTCTCTCTTGCGGATTCGATTGTTTTAGAGGTTCGTTTCTCCTGCCCGAGGATGCGGTCACCAGGGCGCCGGGGCAGGTCTCTTGTGAAACTTTTTGTCCAGCTGCCCGCGAGCCCAGTCAGACCGAACCCTCTTCCATCTGCTGCTGCTAACATTGCCTTCGCCATCTCGGGCTGCCCGAGATCTCCCGGCAGAATCCCGGGCAGCTGAACCCATTTACCAGCACCGGGAGGGGAAGGGGAGAGGGAGTGTGCGGGATGATCCCAAGGTGTCGGCCCAGTGTGAATCTCCACTATCAAGGGAGTGTGTGAACGAGAGGAGGAAAGCGAGGAGGAAGAGAGTGGTTGAGCGAGTGTGGCAGCAGCAGAGGAAGAAGAGGAGGAAGGGGAGGCAGAAGAGGAGGAGTAAGAGGCGAGTTCGATAGCAGCTGCTTCGAGGACGTCCAGGATGAGTAGGCGCTGACTCAGGTCCACGTGGGCAGAAAACACCTCCCCCAGAAGCACCTCCAGAGATGCCACGGGGGAAAAGACAACCAGAGCCACCAGCGTTGCTCTCCTCTTCTCCTCCGCTCCCACTGCGCCCTGCCCTCCGCCCCTTCCTTCTCCACCTCGCACGCTGCCTCCTTCCCTTTGCGCAGCTCCTTTTTCTCCCCTGCTGCCCTTCTCCTTGTTACTGAGAGAGCTCCATTCTTCCACCTCACACTCCGCCACCTCACCTTCTTCCCCATCCTCACCTCTCTCGCTCCCACTCTCCTCCTCGCCCTCCTCCCCACCTTCCTCCCCCTCCGGTTCTTCCCCAACCAAGAGGAACTGGCACTGCATGTGGATAAGGGAGCGTGCCAGCTCAGCTGCCACGTCATCCAGCTCGTCCGGTTGGCAGCGGATCATTGGCTCAAGGGAGAAAAGCGCCCGCTCCATCTGTTAACAGAGGACCAAGAATGAGAATGCCCCCCAGAAAAAACAAAAAAAAAAACAAAAACAAAAACAAAAAAACAAAAACAAAAACAAAAAACAAAAAACAAAAACAAAAACAAAAACAAAAACAAAAACAAAAACAAAAAACAAAAACAAAAACAAAAACAAAAACAAAAACAACAACAACAACGTTTCTTGACTACAGGGTTTTTTTTTACCGAGTGAAAAAAGGAGTGTTTTGAGACGTCTCAAAACACTCCTTTTTTCACGTGGTTTCTTGACTACAGGGTTTTTGAGGCGCCTCAAAATACACTTCTTGACTACAGGGTTTTTTAGGCGCCTCAAAATACACTTCTTGACTACAGGGTTTTTTTTTTACCGAGCCAAGAAGAAGAGGAAGAGAAGGGCCAGAAACGTTTCTTGACTAGAGGTAGCCAACTGCATAACCGACTGAAGCTGAGACACTCACCGCACTGACATCATCCCCCTTCCTCAGGTCTGCTGCACAGTAGCGCAGCTGCATGGGTGCCAGCAATCCACCCCCCTCCCCACTCATACCCACTCCCACTCCCACGCCCACTCCCATGCCCATGCCCCCTGCATCCTCCTCTTCCTCGTCTAATTCCTCCTCGCTCTCCTCTTCCTCCTCATCCCACTCCTCCTCACTCCACTCTTCCTCACTCTCCTCCTCACTCCCTTCTTCGCTCCCTCCCTCACTCTCATCATCCTCCTCCCTGTCCTCCTTGCCCAACTCCCCCTCCTCTCCTCGCTTCTCCACGTCCTGATTCTCATCTTCCCCACCATCCCCACCGGCCCCCTTCGCCCCTTCCCCTCCCCTCTTCTCCTCCCTACACAACTGCCCCGTCACCCCCCCAACGTCCCATCCCGTTGCAAAATCAAGAGCAGCAGCAATAGCCGCCTCGTGAGTCGACTCAACAGCAGCTGCACTCCCCTCACTCACCCCACTCCCCCCTCTGCCGACTCGCTTCCCCTCCTCCCCCCCAGAGACTATCCCTCGCTCATATGCAAACTCCCCAAACAGCATGGGGGGACGATCAGGGTGAACAGCCACTGAGAAGGCGAAGGCAAGGCGCTGCCCCATCAGGCGCACCAGAGGGAGGGGGCTCTCCAGGCGCACTGCACGTGAGGGCATGGGGAAGGATGGGGGGGCGGTCAGGGTGCACAGTGACTGAGAAGGCGAAGGCAAGGCGCTGCCCCATCAGGCGCACCAGAGGGAGGGGGCTCTCCAGGCGCACTGCACGTGAGGGCATGGGGAAGGATGGGGGGGCGGTCAGGGTGCACAGCGACTGAGAAGGCGAAGGCAAGGCGCTGCCCCATCAGGCGCACCAGAGGGAGGGGGCTCTCCAGGCGCACTGCACGTGAGGGCATGGGGAAGGATGGGGGGGCGGTCAGGGTGCACAGCGACTGAGAAGGCGAAGGCAAGGCGCTGCCCCATCAGGCGCACCAGAGGGAGGGGGCTCTCCAGGCGCACTGCACGTGAGGGCATGGGGAAGGATGGGGGGGCGGTCAGGGTGCACAGCGACTGAGAAGGCGAAGGCAAGGCGCTGCCCCATCAGGCGCACCAGAGGCAGAGGGCTCTCCAGCCGCACTGCACGTGAGGGCATGGGGAAGGATGGGGGGGCGGTCAGGGTGCACAGCGACTGAGAAGGCAAAGGCAAGGGGCTGACCCATCAGGCGCACCAGAGGGAGTGGGCTTTCCAGCCGCACTGCATGTGAGCAGCAGGACCAAAACAGGCAACAAGGGGGGTTGTGGGGGGCAGTCAGGGGGCACGGCCATTGGGGAGGAAAAGGCAAGGCAAGGCGCTGACCCATCAGGCGCACCAGTAGGAGGGGACTTTCTAATCGCACTGCACATGAGAAGCAGGAGCAAAACAGGCAGAAAGGGTGGTTTGTGGGTTTGCAAAGGGTGCGGGGGGGGGGGGGGGGGGGGGGGGGGATGCAGGAGCGGTCAGGGTGCACAGCCACTGAGAAGGCAATGGCAAGCCTTTGCCCCATCAGATCAGACACACCAGCGGGAGAGGACTTTCCAGCCGCGCTGCATGTGAGCAGCAGGAACAAAACAGGCAACAAGAGGGGTTGTGGGGGTAAGTGAGTCAGGGGGCACGGCCGTTTGGAAGACAGAGGCCAGGCTAGGCGCTGACCCGTCAGCATGTCAGAAGCAGGAGCAGGCAGCAAAAAGGGGGGGAGAAGGGTGTTGGGGTGCACAGCAACTGAGAGGTTGAGATGCCTTCATCAAACGTGCACAATGCACTTGCAGTTGCACTATCACAACAACACAAGACATGCAAGTGCATGTGCATGTGCATGTGCATGTGCATGTGCAAGTGCATGTGCATGTGCATGTGCATGTGCATGTGCATGTGCATGCTCTGATGTTCACAGTACGACCACTTACTGGAGACGCCCTTAAGAAGCATTGTGAGCAGCGATGGGTGCAGGCGAATGGGCGCAGATGAGGACAGTGCTTGTGGGTTTTGGTGGCAGGGGAGGGAGAGGAGGAAACCTGCTGCGGCTGTCACATCTGCCAGGAGGACAGGAACGGGAAGAGGAAGGGGGCCCGAATCAGAAAAAGAGGGGAATGGAGAAAGGGAAAGGAGCGCACAACTTTGGGAAAAACAGGATGGCAGCTGAAAAATCAACAAGGGATGAGTAACTCGTTTTCTAGATTAGCAAATCCGATCCTTTCTTTTTCTTGCTGACTCACAGATTTGCTTTTCCATGGAAGATGACTGGACGAGAGCCGCTGAGCTCCACATGCGCAACACATGTTCAAGTGCCACGTGGCACAACCCCATTGGCTCGGGTGCGGAGGATTCGTCAGCAGAGGGTGAGGAGGAGGAAGAGAGAAGGGTGACAATCCAAGGCAGGCAGGGGAGGGGAAGGAGGGAGCGAGTGAGGAGGTGTGACGTGAAAAGGTACCTGCAATGATTGGTTGAGGGGCGGAGGAGAGAGGGTGGGAGAGGAGAGGAGAGTGATTGTGCGATTCAGACCAGATCAGTTCAGCCACAGGGTGGCGTGAGACAGCGAAGCAGAAATGCAGGGATCGGCATCTCTTTGTGTGTGCCTGCCTTATGCATCAACTCACACTGCTTGAGGGTGCTGCTGAGCCAGCACCCCCCGAAACAGCAGCTGCAACACAGTCCCTGGGACACTGCTGCTACTCGTGCTGGTGGTAGTGGTACTGGCGGTGCTGCTGGCAGTGGGAGGAGCGGTGGCAAGAGCAGCAGCGAGGGCAGCGAGGTGGGAGAGTAGAGCCTCTGTGAGCTGGTGGAGGGGGAAGGGGTCAGCAGCAGCGAGAGAGGCGATGATGGTGGAGTAGAGGGAGGAGAGTTGCGGGAAGGAGGAGCTTCTGTTGGTAGTGGTACTGTTGTGTGTCGGTGCTGACGTGGTGTGTGCCAGCTGTCGGATGATTGTGTGGACGAGCTCGGATGCCACCGTTGCTGGGGGAGCGGCACATATGGCAAGCATAGAGGGGGGAGGGAGAGGATTAGGGAAAAGGAAGGGAGAGAGAGAACAGGGTGGTGGAGAGAAGGATGGAGAGAGATTGCAAGGGGGGTCGCAAATTACTTAGTCGGGGAATAAAGGCTGAGAATAGAACCCCTCCCTCACTCACAAGCATGTATGCAACGACCAGGCGTCACCCTAAAGTACCCCGCCCAAAAGAACTTCACCCTACTATACGTCACCCCACCATACTTCACCCGATCATAACTCACTCACTCCTACACCCCTCACCCCACCACTCACCCGCATGCCCTCGGCGGCACAGTCTTGCCACCAGCTGCCCCACAAACGCCTCTGGGGAAACGCCACCGCCACTGCTGCTGCTGCTGCCGCTGCTGCTGCTGCTGCTGCCGCTGCTGCTGCTGCTGCTGCCGCTGCTGCTGCTGCTGCTGCTGCCGCCGCCGCCGCCGCCGCCGCCGCCACCGCCGCCGCCGCCGCCGCCGCTGCTGCTGCTGCTGCTGCTGCCGCTGTTGCTGCTGCTGATATTGCTGGTGTGCTTGTGAGTGGTGGTGATGTTAGTGGTGGTACTGCTGATGCTACCGCTGCTGCTAGTGCCGCTAGTGCTAGTGGTAGGGGAAACACTTGTTACGTGGGAGGGAGGCGTAGGGGGAGGTGTTGCGGAGGAGCGAGAGGCAGCGATGGTGGCAGTGGTGGTGAGAGCCTGGCGAATGAGAGACGAGATGAAGTGACTGGTTGGGCAAGGGGGGAAGTGGGGGGATTGGAATCGAATGGGTTCTAGTGCGTACAAAACAATCAAGTGGCGGCGACTTCTTATGGCGTTTTAGAAAAAGAAGGGGCGGGGGGGGGGGGGGGGGGTGCTTGTGTCGATTTGGAGAAATCTCCAGACTGGCACATGAATGGTGGGAACGCCCTAGTTTCAAGACGTTACAAAACGTGAGGGGGGGATGGGCGGGTGGGGAAGCACACGCACGGAGGGCAGTGGGAAGGAAAGTGAGTAGGAGGGGAAGGGGAGCACTTTTGAGGTGCCAGACGCACAAGCACGCAGAGAAGTGGGTAAGAAGTGGGTTACGAAGGAGAAGAGTCTCACGGAGCATGCAGGGCAGGAGGCGCGTGTGGCGACGCCCTATCAGTCAACGACGCCAGCTGGGACACCACTCTTTCCACGCTGTACTCTCCTCTCCACATTGCTGCTGACGTGGCTGACGCTGCTGACGTGGATGATGATGCTGACGTGGCTGACGCTGCTAACGTGCAGCGACTTGATTCCAGGTGGACCAAGAATCTGTACAAGCCCACTGACGTTACAAGGGCCTCTCTGCACCCAGCAGCTCCAGCCATGCTCCCTGCTCCAGTAACATTTGGACACGTGTCAGGAGTAGAAGCTGTAGGCGTGCACTCTGCGCCTGGCTTGACTGGTTCGGCTGTTGGGCTGTCAGGCGAACCGAAGATTGCAAGGAGCAGCCTGGATGCATGGGTTGGCGGGAAAAGAGGCAGGGAAGAGGGGCCCATTCTTGGAGATCTCAAATGAATCTGTTAGCGAAGGAGAAGCTTCGATGCAAAGGCGGGCGAAGGAGGGAGGGAGGGAGTTTTGAGACGTCTCAGAACTTTTGAGACGTCTCAAAGGTGGGCGAAGGAGGGAGGGAGGGAGGGGGGAAGGGGGGAGGGAAGGGAAGGAGGGAGGGAGGGAGGGGGGAAGGGGGGAGGGAAGGGAAGGAGGGAGGGAGGGAGGAGCGTATCGGAAAGCTTGGGCTGGGTACAGGGAGGAACCTTGAGGGAGAAAACGCGGAGGAGGGGGAGTGGGAGGGAGGAAGGGGGATTGGGTTGGACTGAAGTGAATCACACTCAAGCGGCCCATTGCTGGCTTTACCTCTCAGCCTCCTTGCGTGCAATGCTGCACCTCCTCCCCTGCGCCACCCTCCCACACACCCCTCCACCCATAGCATCACCCGCAACAGCAGCGCCACCACCACCATCGCCAACACCCTTCCCCTCACTACCCTCCGCACCATCTTTCCCCATCCCTCTCTCCCCATCTCCCCCCCCAAGCAACTCCTCGTCCGCGGAAGCAGTGTAGGCGGAAGGGGAGGCGGAGGGGGAGGCGGAGAGGAGCGGGAGGAGGGCGTCTAGCGCGGAGGGGAGGGGGGCGGAGAGGAAGAGCGGGTCGAGCAGGGTGCGGCGGGCGGAAGGGGGAAGCACTGGCGCCGCTCCTGGAAGGGGAAAGGGAAGGAAAGAGGGAAGGGGAGGGCAGGGGGAAGGGGAGGGGGGGGAAGCGGGGGGGAATCGAAAAGTGATGCGGATGCAGTGAGCGGGAGAGGAAAGGAGGGGGCTATTGTCGTACGGTCAGAGCAGAAGCAGATGAAAGAGTGGCGAGACGGCGGAGAAAACGAGAGAGAGAAAAACGGAGAGGAGGACGCAGATTAGGATGCGGGGGGGACTATTGTCGTACGGACGGAACAGAAGCAGCTGTGAGAGCGCCACGAGGTGGTCCGATAGTAGCACGCGTAGAGGTGACAATATCGGTGCCTTCGCTTCTGTCACAGCGGGGTCTCTCCCGCCCGTGGAGAACGCTTCATATCCGATTCCGTCAATCGCGCTGCTCGCACGATCCACTACAGCCGATGCTACAACCGACGCTCCAGCGCGTACGTTTGGTGCCAGCAAAGCGGCGACCGCTGTTTCAACAGCTGCCACGTCAGCAGCCGCGTCTAGACTCCGTTCCAATCGCGTAAGGAGGCGAATGGCTTCCTCCTCGTCGTCCAATCGCTGCTCTTGCTGAGCTTTAAAGGGATCAACGGGATCTGATCGACAACTACTTATTAAGGCGATGCCGTCCAGTCGAGTCGCCCTACGGGTCGCCATCTCATGTGTGGTCATACGAGTCCCCATCAAACCCGATAAGTCCCAACTTCACGAGTTTGTATTTCTTTTCCCGCGTAGAAGCGACTTCGGTATCATCTCTGTACTGCTTCAGGGTTAAATGCTGTAGTTCTTCTCATAATCAGATGAAGTGATTTCTCATGGAAGCATTACCTAAGCTATTATGTACACTCATTACAGTGTGCTGGTTTGCCGCGATTATAAATTCACAGCCCTGTCCAATTCATCCAGAAAAAAATGCTTTTGATGAGGGCATGTTCCTACAGCCCTGAGACTAAATCATATAACCATTCTCATCGTAAAATAATCGGCCAGTATCATCCCTCTTCTCGCTTCCCAGACTCATCATCCCTAAAGTACTTCTCCTGAACATCCCCTATTGTGGAAAGGTAATTCATGAGGCCAAATAAACACCAGCGCCGATCACCATGGGGATAAGATGGTCGTTGTCACACAAGCGAGGTCGCACGCAAGAAGGATTGTTTGAAGAGGTGCAGGTTAAGGAAACTTGAAATGCAAGTTGGAAAGGAAGCTAGAAGAGTACCGGTATTTTGAAAGGAAGCAAGATGTGGTTAGGCAGATAGAGGAAGGGGTGAACCAACTTGAGCAAAAGAGACAGAGTAATTCAAAAAGGGGGGAATCAGAAGACGAAGACAGCAGGGAAGGGAGGAAAACCAAAACTGGGAGGCTTTTGCAAGAGTACAGTACATTGGAACAAACGAGAGTATAAATGGCCATCGTGATTCACGAATGAAGGGTGCAAGTGGGGAGACGAGGGTGGGTGGGGAGAAGCGTAAAAGGCAAAAAACGTGCGCAAGAAGAGAAGGGAGAGAAAGAGTGAGTGCGAGAGGTAAGAGTGTGTGCGTGTGAGTGAGTGTGAGTGTGTGTGTGTGTGAGGGGGATATCTCTCCTCCTCCCACTGCATGGAGCGCGTTGCAATCTTGGAATATTCAGCAGCGCTCGCCTCTATCCCCGCAAACACATAGCCGTTCGCACGGTCGACTGTGCGGATCAGATTTGATACGCTCTCCTTGTCCTGACAGGCAAGCAGGGGCATCAGCAGCAGCATGCAGTGAAATGCCGCCAGGAGAGGTTGGGGTCAGTAGGGCGAGTGGGCCGAGTGGGGCGAGTGGGGCGAGTGGGGCGAGTGGGGCGTTGGGGATAGTAAGGTGCGAGGGGTGAGCAATGTGGGTCATATGAGCGAGTGAGTGAGTGGGGGCGAGGAACATGGTCAGCCCACCTGAATGTTGAGGGTTTCAAACGAGACGAGCCCGAAACCATCCACCACTTCACACACTGCTGACATCAGCTTGCTGGCATGTGCGGGGGGAGAGAGGGCCATGCTCGGCCCATGCTCAACCCATGTTCACCCCATTCTCGCCCCATGGTCAGCCCACCTGAATGTTAAGTGTTTCAAACGAGACGAGGCCGAAATCATCCACCACTTCACACACTGCTGATGTCAGCTTGCTGCCATGTGCGTTGGGGGCGAGGGGGCGAGGGAGACAGGGGAAGGGGAAGAAGAGAGCGGGGGAGGGAGGAGGTGGTGGAAGGGTGTATGGTTTTGGGGGAGAAGCGGGAAAGGGACCAGGGAGAAGTGACAGATTCAAACCAAACAGAGGAAAAGTGTTCAGGCTAGATCAGCTGGCCTGAAGACACGGGGCAGTGGGTCAGAGAGTGGAGCGACTTTTGAGTCGACTCAAAAGTGTTCAGGCTATATCAGCTGGTCTGAAGACACGGGACAGTGGTCAGAGAGTGGAGCAACGCGCGTGGCGAATGGAATGTGCACTCACGCGTATCGCTTGTTGCGAGGATCGCTCTCGAGATGCTCCTGCAGGAACGAGAGGTCCTGCACGTCCGTGTAAAAGTCGAGGTTGAATGCTGAGGGTGGAGGGAGAGGGGGGGGAGAGAGGGACGAGGAGAGTCGAGTCTGAAAAACAGCTAAGGAGAGCCGAATCTGAAGGCAGCTCAGGAACGAGAGGTCCTGCACGTCTGTGTAAAAGTCGAGGTTGAATGCTGAGGGTGGAGGGAGAGGGGCGGGAGAGAGGGGCGAGGAGAGTCGAGTCTGAAAAACAGCTAAGGAGAGCCGAATCTGAAGGCAGCTCAGGAACGAGAGGTCCTGCACGTCTGTGTAAAAGTCGAGGTTGAATGCTGGGGGAGGAAGGGTGCGGAGAGGGAGAGTGGTGGGAGTGGGCGAGAGGGGGCGGGGGAAGTCGAGTAGTTGCCTCAGACACCTGCTCTGCTGCAAGAAAAAGAGTTCCCGCACATCCGTGTAGCAAAACAGCCCAGAAGGAAGGCTACGGGGCACAGAAGGAGATGGGAAGCGGACGAGATCGAAGATATCCACTCACCCAGGGGCCCGTATGCCCGTATGCCCATATGCGCGTATGCCCGTATGCCCGTATGCCCGTATGCCCGTATGCCCGTATGCCCGTATGCCTGTATGCCTCCACGAGGTCTATCTTTGAGCTCGAAATGTTCGAGTTTCGAGTCGACTCAAAACTCGTCACAGAACGAGATGGGGAGCGGAAGAGATCCACTCACCCAGGGGCCCGTATGCCTCCACGAGGTCTATCTTTGAGAGCACGTTGACATGTGGTAACTCAAAATGTAACATCGCCTGCCCACACAGCAAACAAAGCAGACCAAACCCAGAATAAGGTTACTGGATATTGAAAACCGACACTGACAAGGAGAAGCTGGAAAAAAAAAAAAAAAAAAAAAAAAAAAAAACACATATTGAGGGAAGCGCCTGTGGAGAGCCCTTACTGGACGCGAAGCCTTGCGCCAAGCTTTACCTGCAGCGACAGCAGCAGCGCCGCCACGTACTTGTGTGCCTCGCTGCACAGATGCGCGTCCACCAGGTGCACGGCTGCTAGCTGGAGTGAATGACGGGGGCGGGGGAAGGGAGGGGGGCATTTACGAACAGTTAGCCACATCGTACAAGGGGAGAAACGGATAGGAAAGCATTGGGGCGACAGCAGCAGCGCCGCCACGTGCTGTACCTCGCTGCACAGATGCGCATCCACCAGATGCACTGCAGCTAGCTGGTGTGCATGGTGGGGGGGGAGAGAGCAGTAGTAAATACGAGGGAGGGCAGGGACAGGAGAGAGCAGTGCGGCTCGCTGCACAGATGCGCATCCGCCATATGCACGGCCGCTAGCTGGTGTGCGTGGTAGAGTGGGGGGGCGAAGGGAGGGGGGAATTTACAAACAGTTAGTCGCATTGCATGAGGGAAAGGGACAGGAGGGCATTGGGGCGACACAGTAGCGCCGCCACGCATTTGTGTGCCTCGCTGCACAGATGCGTGTCCACCAGACGCACGGCCGCTAGCTGGAGTGAATGGTGGGTGGAGAGGGTGGCAGATCTGAATCCCCCATCTGCTATGCTTTCCGATACCCGTCCATCAGACTCGCTGTGTAAGTTAGGCGCTTGATATCGCTCTGACATCTGATAGTGCCAGTGGTCTAGCAGGGGACAGCACGGTGCGGTCATCAGTTTCTGCCTCTAGCTGCACGAAAAGCAGATTTGCGAAACCCCTTCCCCCGTCGTGCATTTTCGCCTCCCCACCAACCCAACTTCCCGCCACTTTGCCAACCTCACATCCGCGCTTGTGCTTCTCCCCAGCCACTTTTCGTGACCTTCCTTGCTACACCAAATTCTTCCCTGAAACAAGGACTACACTTTCCGCCTCAGTTCTTATCCTTCCAAAACCTCCGAAATCATTCTGCATGCCACCAGCCCAATACCTTACAGTATGACAAGCCGCAAAAGGGGCCGTGGTACCCAAGACTCTGAACCCACTTCTCCTCGTCCGCCTGCCCGTTCGCGACAAACTCCAGCCTTTGCGACTCTTTCGACCTCCTCATCAAACCTTGCACCACCCCCTACTCCTAAACCTCAATCATCTTCTGCTCCCTCCCAGCAACCTCAGACAACATCAGCCCCGAAAATTGTCTCGGAAAAACAAAAGGAGATTCTCCAGCAGGTCCTTAAGGGCACCCTTGCTGATTCTCCGTCTTCAACACGGCCTCAAACCTCTCACCCTCAGCCCTCGACTTCCCGTGCCCATCCTTCATCTACCTCAACACCTCCTCCGACGACTACAGCAGATGCTCCCGATCCCGCAGCCCCTGCCGACAACACGCACCCACTATCACACTACGAAACTGCTGCTTCACCTTCTCGAGATCCCCCTCCTCCTTCCCCTACCCCTCACTCTACCCAGCCATGCCCACAACCCTGCCCGCCCTCATCAACCTCCGATAACCCACTACCTCCTAATTCTTGCCCTACATGTCGACGCACCTTCGCCAACCCAGGTTCTCTGACCCGTCACCTTTCAGCCTGTTCTCGCAACACCGCTACACGACAGCAAGCTGCTCGGCCTCCTCCTCCCCGCGCATCAGCCCCAACTTCAGCGCCTGCAGCTGTTGATCGACCTTCCATTCCCCAAGCCACCTGGGAGGCCGTTCCTTCCTCGGACTGGCCTTCCTTCTTCAGCCCAGCAGTCTCACCTGGCCCTATTCTCCGTCGAATCCCCTCCCGCATCCGACTCCTCGTTCTCGATGCACTTCTCATCCCTCTGCGCCACCTTGCACAGCATCCCACTGACGTCGCTGCACACCTCATACTCTTAGCATTTCCGCGTCTCCTGCTGCGCCTACCATCGGCCGCTGCTCCCACACAGCCCCTTACCGCTGCATGCGCTGCTTTAGCGCGCCGCTTCATCAATGGTGACTGGCAGTCTCTTTTCAGTGAAGCCGTAGCTGCAGCCACTCCTGCCGCTAGACCTCTGCATATGGCATCAGCACGTTCTACAGCGCTGCAGGCTCGTCTCAACCGTGCGAAGCGATTTGCGAAATGCGGGGATTGGTCGCGTTCACTGGCAGCACTAGAAGCTGGCGAGTTAGCACCTCCATCATCAGAAACAGTTGCTGCCCTCAGCTCGAAGCACCCACCGGCTGCAGCCAAGATTCCTGACTGGGTACACAGTTTCACTCCTGCTGCCGCACCACAGCTTACTGTCCCTGTCCTCCACGCCGCTCTACAGTCCGCCCCCCGCGGCACAGCTGCTGGACCTTCTGGGTGGTTCATTGAGCACCTCAGAGACACCTTTCTCTCCCACCAGCAGCATCTCCCTTCTCTCCTCCACGTCTTCCAGAACTGGCTACAAGGGGATCTTCCACTTGCAGTCAGGCCTTTCTACACTGCTTCAAACCTCGTCGCCCTACAGAAACCGCATGGTGGTGTACGTCCCATCGCCATTGGAGAAGTGCTACCACGCCTCCTTTCACGCTGCATCACCCTCCTTTTCAAGCAGCAGATGCGAGAGACGTTTCTTCCTCACCTTCAGTTTGGCGTAGCAGTTCCAGCAGGGATCGAGGTCATGTCGCACGCAGTTTGTTCCGCCTTCTCCCTTCATCCCGATTGGGTGGTGCTGCAGTTGGACGTGGCAAACGCTTTCAACTCCTTCAACAGAGTTTCCATGTTTGAGGCATTACGGCGCTCCCCATTCTCCAGTCTCATTCCCTTCTTCCGCCTATTTTACTCCTCCCCTTCACCTCTCCACTACCGCAGCGGCCCTCTCCTCCACACGTTCCAGTCAGCCTCCAGTGTTCGTCAGGGCGACCCTTGTGGCCCTTTCCTCTACGCCCTGACGCAGCAGCTAGCCATCCAGCCAACCCAGCAGCAATCTCCCTCTATTTTCGTTACCTCATACGCGGACGATACCTACTTGGTCGGCCCTCCCTCAGACGTGTTTGCCGCATACACTGACCTTACCGCCCGCCTTCTCTCTCTCGGCCTTACTGTCCAACCCTCTAAGTGCTCTCTATGGGCCCCTATGGACTTGCCCGAACACTGCATTCCGCCCTCGGGTATTTCCATCGCAGCAAACGGTCTCACTGTCGCTGGCGTTCCTACCGGCTCAGACGGTTACATCATCTCTACAGTTCGTGACAAACTCGATTCTTTCACTTCCTCCCTCCCCTTACTGCATCAACTGCAGGACCCACAGATTGCCTCACGGATCCTTTCCTTATGCATCACAGCCCGACCTTCTTTCCTCCTCCGAACTGTCGCACCTTTTCCCGAAATCCAAGAGCTACTCTCCTCATGGGACAGCACCATTTTCAGCCACTTTTCTCAGCTCCTGGGCTCCGAGTACTGGAATCCCACCTCTGAACAGTCCACATCGGCCCGACTCCAAGCCTCGCTCCCTATCCGCTTGGGTGGCTTCGACATTCGCAGCTCTGCATCCATTGCCCCCCTCAGTTACCTCTGCAGCTGGGCGCAGACAGTTTCGACCTTGTCCACCCACTTCATCACCGATGGTGCTCCTCTTTTCCGCCCTTACATTACCACAGACTCCATTAACCGCTTGGACCCTTCAATCTCATCCACCATGACCATGCTCCCCCAAGACATTCGTGATCGCTTTCCATCGTGGTCTGTGCTACAATCGGGCTACCCTCCTAAACTCTTCACTCACCTGTCCCAACACCTTGAAGCCGAACTGCTGGAGAAGGTTCGAGCCACAGTAACGTCCCCGCTTCGCCTTGCTCGCCTAACCTCTTTGCAGGGCCCGCACGCAGGTGACTGGCTCACTGTGGCTCCATCCTCCCCGCACATGCAGCTTTCAGAGACCGAGTGGCGCATTGCAGCAGCCATCCACTTAGGCCTTCCTATTCCTCACCTTTCATCTTCCCACACCTGCACCTGCAACTCCCCATTCACTAATCCTTCCATCCACTCTCACGTCCTTCGCTGCCCTAGCAACAATGAGCCTACCAAGGTGCACGACGCAATCAAGCGTGAAGTTCATCGCATTGCCTTGGAGCTTGGGTTCTCTGCGCAAATGGAAGACCAGCATCTCCTGCCTGGCCGCCGTACAGACATCACGTGCCGCGACGTCAGCTCTGGTACCACCTGGGCCTTGGATGTTTCCGTCGCCGATCCTCAAAAGGGATTTCCGCACTCCAACGCAGCTACGGTGATCGGTTCAGCAGCAGCCACTCGTGAAAGCGAGAAGACAATCCACTATGCTGCAGCACTTCGTGACCGTCCAGACATCAAACTGTTTCCCCTTGTCATCGAAACCTTCGGTTGCTTCGGCTCTTCGTTCAACAACTTCCTTCGCCAATGCAGCCGCAAAGGGGCGTCACAACTCCGCGACTTGAGTGGTGCCACAGATTCTCTTCCCCAGCTGTTTGAGACCAACTTCTACAAACGGATTTCTCTGGTCCATCAACGTGAGCAGGCTCGCACTGTTTGTCGTCGTGCACAAATTCGTTTTACCGAGGGCGTCAACCACGCACCACCCGAGGTGACTTCTCTTTCTGCAGCTGACTTTGCCTACTTGGGAGAGGACCATTGAGACATCACAGAGGCCTATTTGTAGGCCTCACAATAGGATTAGCCTGCATGTCTTTCCATACACTAGGTCTCTGGATTTGCCTTGTATCCATTGTACATTTACTATACAGTCAATAAAGAGGTAGAATAGCACCCTGCCATGTGCCCGGTGCAGACCCGGGTTCGATTCCCGGCTGGCACAAAAGCCTTTTGGCCAGTGCGGTTGGGGGCTGTGTGGCTCAGTGTCCACCCTTTTGACTAACAGTTTTGCCCATCGGCTTTGTCTAAGAGGACGTACTAGATCTGTCCTCCTAGACTTTTGTTCTACAATCCACTCAACTCAACAGCTGCCTGCCCGCCTGCCTGCTTTCCTGCCTGCGTGGCTGACACGTCACACCCCAGCCATCCACCACCAAACTCACTCTGTAGTGCATCTTGTCTGTGAGGCGCTTGATGATGCTCTGAGCGCTGGCGTGTAGAGTGAAGAGCTCCACTTGCCCGGGGAAGTCGAAGAGGAAATAGTGGTCTGCTTATAACGGGGATGGGTGGGTTGGTTGCCAGAGGGTGGGTGAAACGGGAGAGATGAACGATTGTGGGGAGTAACAGAGTGCACACACGAAATGGCAGCATTTCAAGATAAGGTGAAAGCAGAAGCACCAGCAAATGCTGCCATTGAAGCAAATTAACAAGCAAGCGAACATGCAAGAACAGCCATTGAGGTCGAAGTAGGCATTTGAGGCATGAAAGGAGCAAATGGGGCCTTAAGCATCGACTGACCCTTTTCAAGCGGCTTCAGCTTGCTCTGCAGCCAGTCGAAGTTCTTATCGATGTAGTCCATGCAGTACACGAGACCTGCATGTAGTAATATATTTGTACACATAAAACGGGTACATATATATATGTGTGTATAATTTAAGTATATATTTGCACAACCTCGCTCGAATATATACTGCCAGCCCTCTCCCCTTCTCCTCTCACTTCACCACCATTGGGCCCCATCCCGTGCTGCCACATCCCATCCTCCCTTTCAACTGCCAGCTCTCGCCTCTTCTCCTCTCACTGCATCCCCATTGGGCCCCAGCCCAGGCTGCCCCATCACATCACCTCCTCAAGTAAGGAACACACTCACGCACCCGCCTCTCTGCCAGCCCTCTTCTCAGCCAGCCCTCTCATCTCATCAGCTCACCTCCGTTGGGCCCCAGCCCGTGCTGACCCATCACGTCCTCCAGGCGAACGAGTTCCTCCACGTTCACTGCACACTCGTACCTGCGCGGTCACAGGGGCAGAGGCGGGGAAGGGGAGCGGGGTAGGGGAGGTGAGGTGAGGCTTTACTGTTTAAGGTGCCACCCGACAGCCCGTGCTGCTGCCACAACACATCCTCCAGGCGAACGAGCTCCTCCACGTTCACTGCACACTCGTACCTGCGCGGTCACAGGGGCAGAGGACGGGGGCGGGGGAGGAAAGGGTTGGGGGTGGGAGTGAGAAGGAGCTGGTGTTTGTGTTTGAGGCGCCTCACCCAACAGTCCGTGCTGCCCCATCACATCCTCCAGTCGAACGACACGCTCACTGCACACTCGTACCTGCGCAGTCAGGGAGTGGATGCAAAAAGAGGGGAAATGGGTGAGGGGCCTCATTCACCCTCCACGTTCCCTGCACGGCATGGCACGGTATGGCACAGCATGGCATGGGGGGGTCTGGCATGGAATGGCGTGGCATGGCATGGCATGGCATGGTATGGCATGGCATGACACGGTATGGGATGGTACGGGGCACATAAAATGGAATGTGACTCACGGCAGGCGATCATTGGCTGGATCCATGTTGACCACTGCCACCTTCCTGGGATGATGGTGATTTGAAACGGGATTATAATGGCATGGGATTGTAACGGCATGGAAATTTAACGGCATGGGATTATAGCGGCATGATGGGATTGTAACGGGACAGGATAAAGGGTTACGAAGACTGGTTACGAAGGCTGGAAGGAGCATCTAATCTCGTGCGATGGTACGAGACGTATAAGGTCGAGAAAGCTGTTCTGACGTCAAAAGAAGAGGGATGTGGCCAACAACGGGCAGCAGTCTGAGGACGGAAGACACGGAATGAGCCCAACCGAACCTTCCTAGAAGCTGCATGAACTGCTGCATGCCATTGCAGTACGTGGTCTTCCCCGACCCTGGCGGGCCGATCACGATCTGACCGAACGGCATCGACGCTAGGTTTTCAGATACTGGAAACTACAATGGCTTTTCTGGTAAGAACGGACGATGATTCTTCTCGGACTGACTACTATGGTTGGCCCGACTGGGACGCTACGTTGACTGGTTGACTCGTACACATCCGAACAGGCTACATGATTTTATCATTAGCGGCTGCGTTATAGAGTTAGCGCTAAGATTATAACAAGGCTCTTGTTCAACTTGTAATAAAATGGTGCCTTCCGTTTCCCGCATTTTAAAAAGGCGCAATCAATGTTACGTACCTTCATACAGTCCTTATTCATCTGGTTCATCGTACTTCAAATAATGTTACAGCGGCCATGGGGCTAATAGTCGGCAGCTAATTAGACATGCTACCAATATGCAAGTACATTAATGTTTAGGATGCATATATCACCACAGAAATATGTACGTACATCCATGATGAGATGAGGTGGTTAGTCTAATTGATTTACACTTCAAGGAGCATGAGCTACATACTATCCGCCATGTTCATCATTTCAGCCCCTAGATATCTGCCGTCGTGCCTCGTCGACTGGTTGGTGAACTCTATAAATGCATGTGCTGTCGCAAGAGAGTCTGCATCCATCGCGTGTCATCAAGTCCATGGTGTGGCATGTGGGAGTAGCTTTCGAGCTGCCAGCTCATCTGAGCTGACTTTAGAGTCAGTCGCCTACTTGTTAGGGTTCAGTCTGCGGGTCCTTTTGTTTGCAGATTCAGATTCTACATTTCCTCTCTGTCGCGATCTTGTTTCGGGAGGATGGCGAAAAGGCTGCGAATAGGACTCCACGACATTATGCTGACCTTTGCACTGACGCCTAACACGTGTCTAAGTAGCTGCATGACCGGTGACGCAGCTCACGGAAGTTTCAATGGTCGCGTTTCGTACCTTTGGCCGGCTGTAAGGAGACTGTTTATGAGCTTTCATCGCCGCCGGCATACTCCAGGGCCGCGAAGATTTGTTTGCGTGTAAAAAAAGGCTTTCTTTATCACGTGAACGAATGGTGGCCAGATGGGTGGCAGCTGCTTGTAACTCACCCTAATCTGGCACCTCTGATTGGACGAAGAGTCAAACCCTCAGCACGGCACAGCCCTAGCGTCAGCAAAACTCTCGACAGCAGCAGGGAATTTCGAAGAAAGTCGTCAGCAGGCATGCGTCAGCAGGAGCCTGAAGCGCGCGGGAGTACCGTTGGCTCGCAGCAGTTCCTTCGGGGGCGCGGCACTATCAATGCACCACCCCATCAACTTCACGGGCGTCGATGGAAACTCGATCCATCAACCGTTGGCTCGCAGCACAACGGTGTGGGTGGGATTTCAGGTACGCAATCTCAGGCTGCTCAGCTGCTTCGGCACGCCGGCGTCACCGCTGCAGGCCGGACCACTGACTAGTCTGCTCTAGGCAAGAGCAGAACACGTGGAGGTAGCATACTTCTTTGCTGCCTCTTCCATTATGCAGAAGACTTCCCATCCTCGAGACGTCTTGAGCTGCAAATCAGCCCATGTGATTCCTGCGGAATAAGCGATCCTCAGCGTTCATTCGGAAAGATCTCATATACACCTGTCACTTGTTACCTTTTAAGGGATTTTTTGTTGGAGAATCTCTTCGACCAGACCCTTCAGCTGCAGTTCCAATGGCAGATTCTGCTGATCTTGTTGATTTTTCTGATCCCGCTGCTGCTGCGAGTGCCCCTTCCAGAGCACACCCAGCATCTCTGGATCTCTCCTCTGCTCCTCCGTCGTCGCACGAATGCGTTCCTTACTCGGCTCCGACTGCAGTTTTCCGCGAGCCTTTCGGCGTAGCGCACTTTGCATCCCCGTTACAAGCTCCCGCTTCTATGGCTGTAGCGCCAGACGCCTCTTTGCACTGTACTGCCGAGAGTAACCTGGCCCGGAGCTTGAGCAGCAGCCGCAGCAGAAGGGCGCGTGAAAATCCTTCACTACAGTCACACGTGGAATATGAGGAGCGTCCAGAAACGAGGGAGAGGGAAAGGTTGGACTTTAAGGGTAGCGGCAGCGAACGCATTACAGGAATTTCTGGTGAAGTTTTTCCTTTTGAGAGATGCTCTCTGTTGAGTGGCAGCAGAAGCAAGAGAGGTGGTGGTAATCCCAAGAAACGGCGGATTCTTCCCAGCGAGGACGAGGTGAGGGCGGCTGCAGCTGATTGGCCAACGCTTGGGGCCACTCTGAGACGAGCTCTTGGGGTGGGAGGGGGTGGGGATCCAGCGAAAAGGACACATGGTGAAGGCAAGGAGGTAGCAGGAGCAGATAACGCAGAAGCAGAACGAGCACGAGCAGGACAAGCAGGAGAACAAGGACAGGGGGGTTTCGAAGCGGCAACAGGTGTGACGCAGGAAGACATGACAAAAAGTGTGCAGCAAATGCAGCGTACGGAAGAGGAGCATCTCACTCTACCACAGCAGCAGCAGCAGCAGCTGGTTATTTCTCTGTCTGGAGCGGGTGCTGTGCCTGATAAAGAAGAAGCGCAAAACGCTGGGAAATCTGGAGCTGTCTCGGACGTGAAGGCGAGTCATGAGTGCCGATTCTGCGGCAAGGAATTCGGCTCGTTCCGCGCGCTTGGAGGCCACATGAATCTGCACAGGAGAGGTGAGGCAGGGTGTGTATATGCGTGACATACTGGCATTTGTCCCGCTCATATAGCTGAGATGGTCTCTTTCAAGTCGACATATGATCACCGGAGAGGTGAGGCAGGGAGCGTGTGCTTGACTTGGCGTGATTTGTCCCGCTCACATAGCTGAGGGCTCTCCTTTTGGTGCCAAAGTGCTCCCTGCGTGCACACATCCTTTTGAATCTCTCCCCCACTTCTGCACACTTCGTCCACACGTACAGTCACTCATGGTTAATATCAGATATTCAATCCTTTTTCTAATTCTTTTTCCTCTGCGTTCTTTCTTTCCTTCTCCTTGTGCGTGCATTATGCACTGGCAAACAGAGCGGAAGGTTGAGGATTTCGTGAGGAGGACAGAGGAGCAAGCCCAGACTAGTATAGCGCAGCTGCTGCAGCATCAGCAGGAGCAGCAACAACACGTGCAGCAGCATGTGCAGCAACATGTGCAGTTACAGCAGCAGCAGCAGCAGCAGCAGCAGCAGCAATTACAGCAACAACCGGAACAGCAGCAGCTGCTGCTGCAACAGCAGTTGCAACGGCAGGTGCAACAGCAGGTGCAACAGCAGTGGCAGCAAGAGCAGCGGAATCATCAGCGACAGATGCTGCTACAGCAGCTGGAACAACTGCAGCAAGCCGAAGCAGACTACCAGCATAATTTGCAGGAGCGATTTCCGCAGCAGCAGCAGCAGCAGCAGCAGCAGCAGCAGCAGCAGCGATGGCAGCAAAAGCAGCCGAACCATGAGCAACAGCCGCTGCAACAGCAGCAGCAACAACTACAGCAAGCCGAAGAAAACCAGCAGCGTTATCTGGAGCAGCAGCAGCAGCAGCAGCAACAGCAGGATATGCTTGTGCAGTCATCATATTCTTTCCTGCCTCAACTTACCCTGCAGCAGCAGCAGCTGATTCGCACAGCTGCACCCTACAGCACAGCAGGCAACACAGCAAGCACAGCAACCAGCTCAGCAGCCACAGGAAGCAGCGCTTGGGCTGACATGCAGTGCGGGTCATTGCCGGGCATCCAGCCTTTAGCGCGCACGTGCGGGTCTTCCACTAGCATGGACCGCAGTGTACCTTCTGGTGCTGCTGGTGCTGCTGTGGCAGTGCACGGTGTACCTGCTGGTGCTGCTGTGGCTTCGGGTGCTGGTTTGCGCGGGTTTATGTTGGGGCAAGGTGATGTGGCAGGGCGTGGTGGTGGTTTTGTGGGCGGTGGGGGTTGTGAAGGAGGAGAGAAGATGGAGATCGACATGCCGAGCATTGCGTTGCAGCGAATGCTGCAGCAACAGCAACAGCAACAACAGCAACATCGACAGCAGCAGGAGACACAGCAGCAACAGCAGCTGCTCTTGGTTCACCATCATCTTCTGCAGCAGCAGCAGCAGCAGCAGCAGCAGCAGCAGCAGCAGCAGCAGCAGCAGCAGCAGCAGCAGCAGCAGATACAGCAGGAGCAGCAGCATCATCAGAAACAGCAACAAGAAACACATCGAGAAAAAATGCAACAGCAAATTCATCATCCGCAGCTTTTCTCCCCTGACCAAGTGTGTCAAAAATCGGCTCTGCTGCAATCCGCATTACAAGCAGCTCCGTCCTCGGCCCCTAAACCACTACCACCACCACCACCACTTGCACCACCTGCAGCACCTTCAGCACCAGCAGCGCCACCCACCATGCCAACTTCCAACTCCCAGCAGCAGCTCCGTCCACTTCTCCCTCCTCCCGCCCCAGACCCCTTCCTCTCCACCCTCTCCCCCGAGCTCCTCCAGTCTCTCCTTTCCCACTTCTTCCCCCCTGGAACAGGCCCTGCTGGCCCTACCGGAACACCTCATGCAGTTACCACTGCGTGTTCACTCGCTCCTGCTCATCCTGCCTCCGTTCCTCCTTCCCTCTCGTCAGTCGCTGCTGCTCCAGCGTTGCAGTTTGCTGCCTCTAGTTTTGAGGCGCCTCAAAACGACGCTGCTGCTCCAGCGCTGCAGTTTGCTGCCTTTGGTGAACAACCACCCTCGCCCGTTCCGAGTGTAGCCCCTGTCAAGCCATTTCCAGTTCCACCTGCTATTCGCCGACCTATTTTTAAGCCTGCTGTTTCACCTGGCGTTTCACCTGGATACATTCCTGGACGGGTTGTGTCTGCTCCTGCGGTGGTGGCAGTAGAGGAGCAACAGCAGGGGCGATTGAAACAGCAGCAGGTGGGGTTAAGGGCACAGCAGCAGGTGCTCCAGCAGCAGCAGCAGCAGCAGCAGCAGGATTACCACCATCATCAGCAGCAGCGGGATGGCGTGGGAGTGAAACCTGTGCTGCCAGTAACTCTGCATCAGCCCATCCCTGTCCGTGCTGCTCATGCTCCTCCTGTGGGCCTGGCGGAGCTTGCAGCGATGCTGGAGGTGGGTGGAGGGGATGGTGGGAGAGGCGTTTGGAGGGGAGATGGGGTTTGGAGAGGAGATGGGGACTGGAGAGGAGATGAGGGGTTAGTTGGGAATGTGGCGTGGCTGCGACCCCATGGGCCACCACGGCTGCAGGCACAGGAGCAGGAGCAGTTGCAGCAGGAGCAGTTGCAGCAGGAGGAGAAGCAGCGACAGCAGGGGCAGGAGCAACAGCAGCGGCAGGAGCAACAGCAGCGGCAGGAGCAACAGCAGCGGCAGCGGCAGTTGCAGTGGCAGCAGCAGCAGGAGCAGAGACAGAGGCAGCAGGAGCACGGGCAGAGGCAGCAGGAGGTGTTGAATCAGGATCAGCAGCAGCAGCAGCAGCAGCAGCAGCAGCAGCAGCAGCAGCAGCAGCAGCAGCAGCAGCAGCAGCAGCAGCAGCAGCAGCAGGAGTGGTGGAGTGAGTTGCTGACGTTGGCAGAGCAGCAAGCACAGGCACGCACAGGAAGGGCAGTGGCTGTTCCGAGTGATTTGACTCTGCCTGGTGTAACCATGCCTGGTGTGACTGTTCCCCAGTCTTCTTACAGCTTTCCTCATCTCACCTCTGGGTCTCTTACCCTTGCTGTTACTCCTGCTGTTATTTCTGCTTCTACTCCTGCTGTTACTCCTGCTCGTGCTGTTCCTGATCCCGCTCCTTCGGCTCCTTCTGCAGCTGCCCTCCAGATCGCATCCACTCAAATGCTGCCTCCTGTGCCTGCAGCTAATACAGCTTCATCTCGCAGTTTCTCCCCTGTTGGCGTTTCATCTCGTAATTTCATGCCTGGTGGCGTCTCAACTGGTGAATTCATCCCGTTATTTCAGCACCGCTCCTTTCCTTCCTTGGCACAACCTCAATCCGCTTCTGAGGATGCATTGCTGCTGCAGCAGGAGGCTGGGACACATGCGCAGCAGCTAATTCAAGGGGAAGGAGGAAGAGGGGCTGATGAGGAGGAGGAGAAATTTGCACGGATGGAGCAGCTTCACCAGTTGCTGCTCTTACAGGATCAGCTTATGGGGGGACAACTGCGGGGAGACGAGCTACAGTTGAGGAGGCAGAGGTTGGAGGGCTCCCTGGGTGGTGGTAACCGTGATAATGTTACGGAGCAGAAATTTGTGAGGGGAGGTGGAGAGCAGGTAGAAGAGGGGGGCTTGGCGTTTGATTGCAACAGGCTTGCTAATGGCAGCAGAAATGAGTTTTTAGGGCAGCTGGGAGAGCACGGATGTTGTTTGGCAGGGGATTGAGGGGTGCTGCTATTATAACACCCACACGTGAGATTGGAAGAGACGTGGGAGCAAATGCTTATGATGTCTCAAATTTGCAATTGGGTTTGGGTAGTAATTTTACAGGAATGTAGAGCTGTATGCTGGGCAGGTTTTGATTTGAGGACCAGGATTGCTGAAGAAATTCATCCCATGCTTGTTGTAGGAATATAGTTCATTCTTTTCTGGAGATGTTTGTAACGACGTTGAACTTTGTTCCCTCGGTTTTGTCGAAGTCCTGGCTTCAGTTTGATCAACCCACTTCACTTGCTGATTCGGTCCCAAAAGTTCGAAATATGTTGAGTTCAAGCGGTGTTGAGTACGATATCGTAGATTCCAAAGCGGTTCTCTTGCTGTACCAGTCTAAAGCACTACTAACCGAACGAAACATTCATGGATGTGCTGAAAACAAACTGTCTACAAATAGTTCTTTCGGCTTCGGAATTTAGTGGCTTTAGTCCTCGCCAGTTCATTTCATCCGTCTCGTCTGCTTTCCTTTGTTTCGTCAGTCCCCTCATTTCTTCTCCGTAGTTCCGTCTGATTGATCGTATCGTTTCCGCGCACTTATTTTCCTCCATCACGTCAGTAGCGAAAGGCAGGTTTTCTGAGGCGCCTCAAGTATCGTCGACCTGATCGTGTCGGTTCTCTGTACTTTGCTTTCTCCGTCGCGGTAATGGCGAGCGCCAACGATGGGGAGGATGGCGTTGACGACCTGTCTGCTTTCGGCAGGGAGTCGCCTCACGGGGAAAATGGCGTCGCAGGGGAGAATGGCGTCGCAGGCGAGAATGGCGTGGCAGATCTGTCCGCCTACATGAAGACCATGCAACTCTACGCGGGTCTGCAAAGCCACGGAACGGTGAGCGTCGGATATTCACGTGGAAAATGGTAAGGTGGAGAATGGTAAGATGGAGAATGTTGAGGTGGAGAATGTTGAGGTGAAAAATGGTAAGATGGAGAATGATAAGGTGGAGAACAAGAAGGTGGAGATTCGTAAGGTGGAGAAAGGTAAGGTGAAGAATGGTAAGGTGAAGAATGGTAAGGTGAAGAATGGTATGGTCTGTCCGTGTGTGCCTGCTGCCACTGAACGTTAAAAAATCGCGAGTATAGAGCTTGCTCAATTTAAAGCAGCAGCAGTATTATCACTCGAATCGTCACCGATCATTCCCTACGCTGCCCTTCCCGTTCTCCCCAGAGTCTCCCCCTCCTCTCCTCCCGTTGCCATGACACACCGGTCCACCTTCCTTTTCCCCTCCCTCCTTCCCACTCCCTTCTTCCACCATCCTTCCCACCCTCTTCCCCCCCCCATTACCTTCCGTCACTATCCCGTGTCCTCTCTGTTTTTGGTTGATTCTCACTTGCTTCCTCCCTGTTTTTGGTTGATTCTCACTTGCTTCCTCTCTGTTTTTGGTTGATTCTCACTTGCTTCCTCTCTGTTTTTGGTTGATTCTCACTTGCTTCCTCTCTGTTTTTGGTTGATTCTCACTTGCTTCCTCTCTGTTTTTGGTTGATTCCCACTTGCTTCCACCCTCGGCCCTGCAGCGTGTGTTCCTGCCACGCACACTGAGGTACCGGCGAGAGGCAGCGGCGCAGCAGGAGAGGGAGGAGCGGCAGCAGCTACAGCAACAGCTGGGACCCGCAGTGGGAGGGTGAGGAGGGGTAAAGGGGGTTGAGGTCCCAGCACCCGCTTTACCCGCTAGGCGTCTCAAGGGGGTCAAGTGCGGTGGTCATGGCGGGTTGAGGTTTGAGGCGCGTAGAGAACTAGAAGCACACAGCAGGAGTGTGAGGAAGCATAGTGCACACCGGTGGTCAGGGTGAGAGTGGATGGTGGGGGTAAGTGAGATGGTCAGGGTGGGCATGGATGGTGGGGGGGTTGTGGTGGTCAGGGTGGTTCGGAGTCTTGACACCGTCTCAGCTTGTTGTTTCAAGCGCCCCAGGACCAGGCTGAGACGTCTCAAGCACAGAAGCTGGACCAGGTGCCATCTTGGCAGCTTCTGAAACGTCTCAAAAGTGGTTCAGTTCAGCATGGCAGCTCAATCACATTCCTATCCAGAGCCTTTTCAATCAGCTTGTTGAATCTGCCGCCATGCTTCCCAGGAGGCGAACATTGTTTACCTTTCCTTGTCCATTCTCTCGAACGCAGGGCCCAGGTATAATTTGCTCGTTTGCATCCCTCCATCCCTCAAATCTCCCTCCTCCCGCTCTCCACGCCCTGCGAACACTCATCTGTTCCCCCATCTTCTGCCCCAAGCACCACCCAATTCACGCACCCATCCGACCTTCCCCCTTGCACCTGCGCCATCTCTCTCCGAATGGCCTCCTGCTTCCCCTTTTCATCCCCCCCCCGCCTCCCCCTCCCCCATGCCCTCTCCTCCCATCCTGCAGGCCGCACAACCCCCCATCTGTCCCCCCATCCAACCTCCCCCCATCCGACCTCCGCCCTTGCACCTGCGCCATCTCTCTTCGAATGGCCTCCTGCTCCTCCTCCTCCGCCTTCTCCATCCCCTCCTCCCCCAACTGCCCGCCATCTCTCTCCCACTCCCCTCCAGCAGCACCTCCTCCTCCTCATCCTTCTTCCTCGCTCCAGCCCCTGCCGTCTCACCTCATGGTTTGTGCCATTCCTCTCACACGCTCTCCTCCTGCTGCTACTGCTACTGCAACTCCAGCAGCGGGTGCTGCTGCTGGTGAAAACGGTGCCAGTGCAGCAAGTGGTGCTGGTGCTGATGGAATGAATGCTGCTGCCAGTGCAAGAAATGGTGTCAGTGCAACTGGTGCTGCGGCGAATGGTGTTGTTGCAAATGGTATCAGAGCGAGTGATGGTGCTACCGGCACGTGGGACCGATACTCTGTGAGGGCTGCTGCTGCCGTGCTGTGCGCTCCTGTGCTCGAAACCTGGGGTGCTGGCAGCACTGGCACCGATGGCAATGCTCCTGCTGCTGCTCCTGCTGTTACTGACGCTGCTGCTGACGCTGCTGCTGCTGCTGCTGCTGGTGGTGGTACCAGCAACAGTGGTGCCGTGCGCAACGGGACTGCAGGGGAATGGCATGGGGTGGGAGCCAATGGGATTGATGCAGCCGCTACGCATCATTCCCACCAACACCACGACTACCAGCATCACCAGCAGCATCACCACGAGCAGGGCAGTGGGCATGAGCAGGGCTCAACAGAGAGCGACATATCCGCCCTGCCAAGGCACATATTGCTGCCAATGGACGTCAGCGGTGGGCCGTCGTCTGTTCTGCTGCTTGTCATCCGTGAGTCTGGCTCCTCTCTCTCTCTCTCTATCTACGCAGCGTTCTCCTTCGTTCTTCCCTGCCAAGGCACATATTGCTGCCAATGGACGTCAGCGGCGGGCCATCGTCTGTTCTGCTGCTCGTCATCCGTAAGTGTCTTGCCTCTCTGTATCCACCCACCGATCGTTCTTCTTCATTCATTCATTCGTTCCTCTCCGTCTATATTGAGGCACCTGAAGAATAAACGGCAGCGGCGGATTGCCATCTGTGCTTCTGCTTCTTCCGATAGAGGTCGATTTCTTTAGGCGCCTAAAGAAGAGACCTCGCTCTGCCCATCCGTGGGGGCTCTCTTTCCAGCAACCACCCCTCTCTTTCGGCTTGTCAGCCCACTATGTCTCAATTCCCCTCCTCTCCAGCAACCACCCCTCTCTTTCCCAACATTGCCTCTGCTTCCCAACCTTGCCTCTGCTTCCCAGCCCACCTTCTGTCTGGCCGTTTTCCCATTATGCCGTTTCTCTGTCCCATCACCGCTCCTCAACAACCTTCAAGGCGTCTCAAAAATCGTTTTCCCCTTACGCCGTTTTTCTATGAGTCTGTTTTTGAGTCGACTAAAAAATCAAAAATTGTTGTCCCCGTCCCCGTATGCCGTTGTTCTTCCCCATTGCAGCTCCTCGACGCGGCGTGCACAGCCAAAGTGTGAATGGACTATCATCCCATCAATCTCAACCACAACCACATTCAAATCCGCAGCGTCCTCTAGCCAATGGCTTTGTGCCACATGTCTCCAAAGCTCCCTCGGTAGCCAATGGCGTGCTGCCATCTGTCAACGAACCTGCCTTCTCAGCCATGTTCGGGCATGGTGCATCCGAGCCTAGAATCGTCTTCTGGGGCCATTTGTCCACCGAACCTGTTGCTGCCGAACCTGCCTCTGCCGAACCTGCCCGGTCAAACCATTTGCCGAACCACGAAGTCAGTGGAGCTTGGTTCTGGCGGCAACGCTGCATCAACTTACGTCTGGGCATGGTTGTGGTGAGTTTGATGGTACTGATGGGGGATGGGGCGGGGGTGTGGTGAGTGCTATGTGGTTTCAAACGTCATCCCATGCGCCACACTTCACGGCATGCATCACACGTCATCCCATGCTTCACTTCACACATCACCCGATTCCTCACATATCCCTCCATGCTTCACAATCTCATGACCCCACCAGGATCGACCAGCGCAATCAGCGCACAGTTCGTCTCAGCGTCCCTCTCTCTACCTCCAGCCTCTGCCACACGCCGATCAGACAGGCCAGGTGAGACAGCGAGGTTGGGGCAGAGAGAGTGGGGCGGAGATGGAGGGGCGGAGAGGGTGGGGCAGAGAGGGTGGGGCGGAGAGGGAGGGGCGGAGAGGGAGGGGCGGAGAGGGAGGGGCAAGGGTTTGTGCGCTCTAATCACACAGCCTCTTGCTCTAGCCCTTGTTATCATTCGTATTACGAAGATTTATATCCGAGGATTCCTTTTGACGTTTGGTGTAAGAAATCCCTCTGCTGAATACTGTGTGGCAGGAGATGAGCGAGCGCCTGTTTGTGGATGTGCGGCCGTCCCCCTGCCAGCACTGCCAGCAGCGAGGGGTATTCCTGCAAGGCCGAGTGCTGCTGCCCCCTCAGGTGGGTTGAAGCGTGGGTGGGCAGTGGCAGTTCTATTCTTTCCATGCACCATGCCGGCACTGCCAGCGCTGCCAGCACTGCCCCCTCCCTCCTGCCACCCCTCCCCCCTCCCTTCTGCCACATCTTCTCCTCCTCTCCTCAGCCCAGTGAAGGCATCATCGTGCTCTCTCACTCTTCCTTCTGCCTTTGGGTCGTTCCAACTTCCAATCCCCCACCCCCCACCCCCGCCCCCCTTCCCTCCCCCCTCCTCCCCCCCCCCCCCCCACACACACTCTCCCCAGCCATGTGGAGACGGTACGGTGCTCTTCCACTTCTGGTTCGGTCACGGCCAGCGCAAGTCGCAAACTGTGCTCCGCTTTTGGATCGACTTACAACTCGCAAATCCCCCCCCACCCACCCCCCCCCTCCCCCCCCCCCACTCCCCCCAGCCATGTGGAGACGGTACGGTGCTCTTCCACTTCTGGTTCGGTCACGGCCAGTCAGCGCAAGTCAGAAGCCATGCTCCGCTTTTGGATCGACTTATAAGTCGCAAACCCCCCCACACCCACTCCCCCCACTCCCCCCAGCCATGTGGAGATGGTACGGTGCTCTTCCACTTCTGGTTCGGCCACGGCCAGTCAGCGCAAGCCGCAGGCCCCGCCACAATTCCCCTGCCACAATTCCCCTGCCACAATTCCCCTGCCACAATTCCCCTGCCACAATTCCCCTGCCACAATTCCCCACTCCTCCCACTCCCCCCACTCCCCCCACTTCCCCCACCCCCCCCACCACTCCCCCCAGCCATGTGGAGACGGTACTGTGCTCTTCCACTTCTGGTTCGGCCACGGCCAGTCAGCTTAAGTCGCAGGCCGTGTCACAATTCCCCACTCCCCCCACCCCCCCCCACTCCCCCCACTTCCCCCACCTCCCCCACCTCCCCCACTCCCCCCAGCCATGTGGAGACGGCACGGTGCTCTTCCACTTCTGGTTCGGTCACAGCCAGCACAAGTCACAAGCCGTGCGTCGCTCCCGCTGCCCCATCTGCCGCACTGCATGCGGCACCACCAAGGTGCGTCTCCGCCTCTACCGTATATTAGGAAGAACAGTATGTGTCACAGCTGTGGTGATGCAATCATAAAGCTTCTTGCCCTCTCATCTGTGAATGATGCCCAGCCATTGAGATCTGCTTCTTGTTCTCTCTGCTTCACTCTCCTCTCCTCCCTCTCCTCCCTCGCCCATCAGGGTCTCAGAGACCACTTGGAAGCTTCTCACAGCCGCTTTGACTACACCTTCCATGTGAGCTCCTCTTCCCTCTCATCGCCCTCGTTCGTTCTACGGTCCACCCATGACGCTTGTTTCTTCTCGTTTTTCATGCTTCTCTGGTTCGAGTCTTTGCCTAGTTGTTCCCGTTCCGTCCATTCCTCTTCCTCTTTCGCAGGCACGCAATGATCACTTTTTAGACGTCTCAAAAGACCTTCCGTCTCTTCCTCTTCCCACTTTCGCACGCATTTTTCGAACTCGCACCCCGGTTAAGCCAAGGTCAACCCGTCCAGAAGCGCCTTACAATGATCGTGTCTAAACTGCACTGCACCATCACTGAGGTGTAATCGACCCCTCCCCTTACTCCTCCTGCTGCTGCTCCCTTCCCTTCCACCCGTTCCCATCGCTCCCCTATCCTCAACCCCCTAACTCCACCCCTCCCTCCTCATTTCCCCGCCCTCCTTTCCCCTTGATCCCTCCAGCTCCAGCAGCCAATGCCAGTTGTCCACGTCACCTGCAAGCCCCAACTGGTAACCACATGCTCTGGCTAGAGTAGATAGGTGCACTTCTGGGGTGACTTTTGAGGCGAAAAGGCAAAGGAGTTTCTCCAAAGTAGCTTCAGCTGGTAATTACATGTTCTTGCAAAAGCAGACAGATGCAGTGCACTTGTGAGGCGCCTCAAAGGACTGCTTTTGAGGCGCCTCTCAAAAGTAGCCTCAGCTGGTAACCACATGCGCTGGCAAAAGCAGATAGATGCACTTTTGAATGAAATGCCTCTAAACTCTCCACGTTTCCACTACTGGACTGGGCATGCAGGATCAATGGCTCCCACCAGTCACCGACTCACCGCATCGCATCGGCATTTGTTTTTGAGTCGATCAATGAATCGAGTCTGCATCTCTTTGCATCTCTTTGCATCTCTCTGCATCTCTTTTCTTCGTGCAGGATCTGGAGCACCCAGCAGTCACCCCATCGGCATCAATCCATCGGCAACAGGCCAAAGGCCTGCCGTTCTTCTGGTGAGAGAGAGGGTGCTGCGTTGGCACTGGTGTGAAGGGTGGCAGGGGTGGGAGGAGGGAGGGGTGCCAGGTGGTTGGGAGGGGTGGGAGGAGTGGGAGGGTTGGGAGGGGGGACGGGTTTTTCGCCTTTATACTCTTGGTGAAGCTGGTGCGGTTAATCCCATCCAGGGCCCAAAATATTAGGGTAAAATACCCTTTTTGCCCTTTCTGTAGGCCACTTTTTTTCAGTTACCCTGATCAAGGCAGGCTAACCGTACAGTTACCCTTTCTTCAAATTAGTGGTTTTTTTTTTACCCTTTCAAAAACAGTGTAGTAGTCTCCTTTCCCTGACTAAGAAGTGTATCACAAGGGTTACAGTAGCAGTGATCCGAAGAAACCTGTATAGCCCCAGTAGACATCCCGCACGCATCAAGGTTCGAACCTGCAACATAACCATTCGGAGGAAATTATATAACTGACTAAGTCATTTACTGACGTTTCGTGTGTTACAAAAACCAAAGATTGAACGTTCTATTGATTCAGTCAGGGTACTTTTTGTTTTAGCCTGTATTTGTCAGCGTATCAGAAATTGTACCCTAGGCCATCAGGGTGGGACAGGCTGAGACCGAGATTAGGCAGGGTGGCTTAAAACCAATTTTGGGCCCTGATCCCATCTCTCACTCGATTCGTTTTCAAATTCTGAGTTACCACTCTTTGTTACTACTCTCAGTTACCCCTACTCTCTGTTACCCCCTTTTTTTACCACTCGCTCTCACCATAAGGCATCGTAACAAGCGAGGAGGTGGCAGAGGAAAACAGCGGCGGCAGCAGCTTCTGGGTTGGGAAGAAATGCCTTGCATCATGCGAGCGAGAGAGGGACAGGAGGGGGATGATACCAGTGGTGGTGGTGCCATGGATAGTGGCAATGGTGCCAGAGATGTGACAGGAGTAGCAGAAGGGGCAGCAGCAGAAAGAAGCACAAAAGAGACAGCGAACGAGGTGACTTTTGAGTCGACTCAAAAGTCAAAAGAGACAGCGAATGGAGCAACACGAAGGAGTGGAGAAACAAGAGAAACGACTAGAGTAGCAGATGGGGGAGCAGAGGGGGGCGAAACAAGAGCAGAGAGGACTGAAGCGAGAGCAAGAGGTACAGGAGAGGCAGGAGGAGCAGGAGCAGCAAGAGAAGAGCGAGGAACAGGAGGTGCAAGGGTGTCAGTGCAGGGGGCAACAGGGGCTGGGAATTCCAAAGGTAACGTTGATGCGGGGAGAACAGGTGGGAAGAGAGCAGAGGAGGGGACAGAGGAGGAGGGAGCAGAGGAGGAGGAGAAGGCAGAGGGGAAGGGGAAGAGAAAGGGAAAGGAGAAGGCAGAGGGGAAGGCGGAGGCAGTGGAGGAGAAAAAGAGAGAAGAAATGTCATTGGAGGTGGCTCAAAGGATTGCTGAGGAGATGCGGACAGAAGCCAAGGCTTCAAGAGACAGAGGTCAGTTGCGCATTGGTAGTGAGAGACAGAGGTCAGTTGCGCACTGGTAGTGAGAGACAGAGGTCAGTTGCGCACTGGTAGTGAGAGACAGAGGTCAGTTGCGCACTGGTAGTGAGGAGAAGGGAGAGGAGAAGAAGAGAGAAAGTATTTCATTGGTGTTGGCTCGACAGACGGAGAAACAGGAGGTGCATGAGTCAACCCATGCACCTCCCCTTTGCCCAACCCACCTCAATATCCCCGTACTACTTCCTTCATGTTGAATCGTCTCAGAGAAATCATTCACTCTCGGTGTTTCCACCACCTCTTTGCACCTGATCTTGTCTTGTCAGAGCGTCGATTTGAGAGGGCTGAAGAGGAGGCAAGAGAGGAGGTCTGCAGGAAATGGTGGGTGGCTGCAAGCTTGGCGGGTGGTATATGCCACGTCAATTTTCAGCATAATTGCGATGGACATAATATGTTAGTGAACCCAGTTTTCCATGCTGCTTGTATGTACGTCCTTTTCACCACCCTTCACCACTCACCACCCCTCCCCAATCACCACCCCTCACCACTCACCACCCCTCACCACTCACCAACCCTCACCACTCACCACCCCTCACCGCTCACCACCCCTCCCCATCCGCCACCCGTCCCCACTCGCTAATTCAGGTCGTCAACCCTCCTTCAGAGAACCTTCTACCACTCGCAGCGATGGCAGGTGAGCAAGCATTGGCTTTCAAGTCGACTCAACACCGCATTGTAGCACCATTGACAACCCGTTTCTTGCACTCGATTGCCCCCCTTCGAACTATGCTGCTTCAGAGAACCTTTCTTTCGCTCACAGCATCAGCAGCTGAATTTTCACAAACGACTCTTCAGAGAACCCAACAGCCACTTTTCATCCATCCATCCCATCCTATCGCGTGCCTTCCTGTGTCCCTTGCTCTGTGTGTTTTCCTTATCTCGTACTGTGCCGCATCTCCGCACCCCCCCACTGCGCCTCCCACCACTGTGCCGCACCCCCCCCTGTGTCGCACCCCTCTGCCAGCCAATCACGGCGCAGGAGATGGTGGAGGATGCAGACAGCGAGGACGAGTGGGACGAAGCCGCTGCCTCGTATGCGGACCGCAAGCTGCTGGGCGAGTTTGAGGACGTGCTGGGCGAGGAGAAGGGCATCATGCACCGCTGGATGGCGTTTGTGCGCCGCCACAGGTGGGGGGTTGCCGTGTGGGGGTGAGGGTTTAGTGCAGGCAGGTAGAGGGGCTGGCATGCCTCTTGAGTCGACTCAGAAGGGCATCGTGCATCGCTGGATGGCGTTTGTGCGCCGCCACAGGTGAGCGGGAATTGCCGTGTGTGGGTGAAGGCTTGGCATGTGCAGGTGAAGGGGTTGCCGTGTGGGGGAGTGCGGAGTTAGCATGCCTCTTTTGAGTCGACTCAGAAGGGCACATACATTGCTGGATGCCGTTTGTGCGCCGGCACAGGTGAGTGGTTGCCGTTTGCTGGTGTGTGCAGGGTTGAGTGCTGCTTTCTCATGGGGTTTGGATTGCAAATGGTCAATGCTGCCTGTTCACAATTACTCGATATGGTGACTGCTTCTAATTCCCTTTTAAATGGTTTGTTTCTATTATGGTCAATCGTTTGTTTGCTTGTGTCTCCTGTCAGTCAAACTCAGAATTTTTAGCCGCACATAGGTTTGCCTCGCTGAGTCGTTGGCTCCATTCTATGCATGTGATTGATTCAATTTGTCCCTATCTGTGTGCCCGTGTGTCTGTCTCCTTTCAACAGAATACTAGCAGACAGGCATGCACCGTGGGCATGTGAGGCATTCGCCATCACACACAAGGCCTTCCTCTCCTCCTCCCCATCCACCCGCATGTGAGTGCCGCCCACTGCCCTTTTTTCTGTCTGAGTTGTCACAGCAGTCACCTTGTTACAGTGGCACGTGACATTTCTGTGCTGCGACTCAGAAGCCATCACATACAAGGCATTCCTCTCTTCCTCCCCATCCACCCGCATGTGAGGCCGCACGCCCGTCCCTGCACTCCCACGTTGTGGATTTTGTCCCCTCCATCTCGCTGAGTCTCACTCGTTGTTCCTAACAGAGTTTCCAGGATTCTCAAAACTCACCCTTCCCTGCACTGCACTCCCACGTTGTGAATTTTGTCCCCTCCATCTCGCTGAGTTCTCACTTCCCCTCCCCTTCTCTCACTCCACCTGATTCCACGCCCCCTCCGCCCAGTCATTCGCTATTCGCCCCTTCTCATTCCCTGCCCCTATAGCTAAGTTGCCAAATACGCTTATAGCGTATATACGCGTATCGTATATACGCTAGCGTATGTACGCTATCCGCGTAGGGGGTCGATGTGGACATACGCTTTTTCGGGCAGGGAAAAAACTTTCCGGGCAGGGTGAGGAAAAAACTACTCCGTATTCTCTCTATGACGTGCCCTAGCAGCATTCTTCGGAGTCCGAACGGCGGGTGGGGCAGGAGGTGGGGTAGACATTTCAGCCAGAGAGAGAAGTAGGAATGGGCGGGAGGAACGCTGTTGGAAGCGGGAATGATTCGTGGGAAATGACGAATTAGCAGCTAGGGGTCGATTTTGAAGGGTTGGAGTTTGTAGATGGGTTGGGGTTGGAATGGGTTTCAATGCGGTAGATGAGATGGGTTTCAATCAATGTGTAGATCTGAAAATCGACATTTGTGCCAAATGTGCCTGAAAACTTCGAAGTCAGATCCCGGCTAGCCTAGACCACGGATTTTCATTTCGACTTCAGCGAAATGCTCACCTAGAAATTCCGCAACTATTTCGCGATATTTTTTTTGGGCAGCCCGGAAAGTTTTCTGAAAGCGTATAGCGTATTCGCGGGCGTATAGCGCATAGCGTACAAACGCTAGCGTACATACGCTATACGCTGAAGGGGTTGAGCGTATTTGGCAACTTAGCCCTATAGCCGCTGCTTGTTTTGAAGTGCCCTAACAAAAAAAAAAAAAACTCTCCATAATTGCCCGCATGGCCTTTCCCAGCCTTTCTGCCCCCTAAGGTGACTTTTGAGTCGACTCAAAAGCCTACCCTCCCCGCTTTCCTTTTCCCCTCCCCCTTTCCCCCCTCAAGTGCTTCATGTTGTTTCTAGTGAATTTGTGGAACGTAAACCTGATTCCGGGCGGCGTTATTGACAAGTGGCACCTCCAGTCCCCTTCCCTCACTCCACCTGATTCTACTCCCTATCCGTGCCTATACTCTTAATCACTGTCTCCCTTCCCCCTTACCCTCCACAACAGGTGCTTCATGCTGTTTCTAGTGAAGCTGTGGAACGTGAATCTGATTCCGGGCGGCGTTATTGACAAGTGTCTGCAAATAGTTGATTCCGCCGATCAACAGCAGGCCGTTGTGTGACGAGACACAGCAAGCAACGCAGCCTCTAACGGGTATGAAATGGCAACACTGCGCAAGATGATGGAAAGGTGCTTCGTTGGAAACAGGCCCTCAGATTGGTTCTAGGGCACACTGATCAATCAGTGCTGCACCTCCAAAAACAACAAATTTTTACAAGCCACGTGGTTGTAATCTCGCTGTGCCACTAGCTGGTATACGTTACTTAGTAAACTCTCATCTCATGTCATGTAATTTTACTGTTACACGTTACAAACATCTTGTACAAAGATCTGGGTCCTCCTACTTCCGTCCTGTGCTAGTGGCCCCAGTCAGCTAGAGCAGCTGCTATTGGCGGTTCCAGCACAGGGGGCGGCAGCCAATCAACCTGCCACGGCGGATCAGGCACCAGAGAGTGAGTGACTTATGGCATGACTCAAATCACCTGAGGCTTCCAGATGCCGCGGCTAGTGGCGGCAGGCGGGTAGAGGGGGAGCTCTTGGCAGCTCGCAGCAGAGCCAGCAGGCAATCCACTTGCTGCTGCAGAGCAATCAGCAAGGTGACTTTTGGAACATAGGCAGCTAGAGGCGGCAGGCAGCTAGAGGGGGCAGGCGGCTAAAGGGAGAGTGCTTCGCAGCTCGCAGCAGAGCCAGCAGGCAATCCACTTGCTGCAGCAGATAGCTGACCTGCTCAGGAGACAGTTGACTGATGCGGTTGGTGTCAGGGCCAAACTTTTGAGTCGACTCAGAAGCCACCGGGCAGTCCACCTGCTGCAGCAGACAGCTGACCTGCTCGGGAGACACTTGACTGGTGCGGTTGGTGTCAGGGCGAAGCTGTTCCCCTCTGCTGCACGGCGGGTCACTGGGGATTTCAGGCGCTGCAGCTACTAGCGGCAGTTGACTGGTGTGGCCGGGGTCAGCGCGAAGCTGCTCCCCATTGCTGCTTGGCAGGGAACAGGTCTTTGAAACCTGTGCCGTGGCCGTGGGAACCAACTGCTCATCATCATCATCATCATCAGCACCGTTGATTTCCTCTGACAGCCTGTCTGGCAGCAGATACACGCCCTCCATTACATCTGCCCAGTCTGGGTCATTGTCACACCCGACAGTGTCACACACGCCGTTGTCACACCCGCCATTGTCACCCTCCTCGTTGTCACCTGCTGCATTATTAGGCCCACGCTTTTCATACTCCTCAGGCAACTCAGTCTCATTCTCCTCGTTACAAGCACACTCCTCACAATCACACTCCTCCCCATGCTCACTCTCTGCTATATCCGCCCAATCTGCCCCAACCGCACTTCCCACCAGCTGCACCGCTTCCAACCCCTCTCCACCCACCCCATCTGCAGCACACCGGGTTTCCGCTGCCTCAAAACCGAACTCCTTTCCACCCATCCCAACCGCAGTATACTGGTCCGCATCACTCACTACTTGCCAGCTCGAGTATATGGCAGGAACTTCTAGGAGCAAATCAGCAGGTGGAAGGTCAAGGGTGACTGGTGGAAGTATAAGGTCGGATGGAGAGCGGTTAAGTTCGGTGGGAGAGAGGCGCAGGTCGGTTGGGGAGTGTGTGAGGTCGGTTGGGGACAGGCCAAGGTCATCCTTGAGCTCAGTGATTGAATAGTGCCGGCTGTGCCTGCGTTGCATTAGCTGCTGCTGCTGCTGCTGCTGCTGCTCACTCTGCTCCTTCTGCTGCTGTCTGTGCTGCTGGTGCTGGGTCAACTCCTGCTGCTGATCCTGCTCGTTCTGCTCCTGTTCCTGCTGACCCTTCCTCTTCTTCTGCTGCTGCTGCCCCGGCTGCTCCTCCTCCCGCACTAGCTTCTCCTGCTGCTCCGATTTCTCGTCGTCTTGCTGCTGATGCCGACAATCATCAATAAGACAACCCCTATGTTCGTGATAAACAACCTCCTGTCTGCTAAAACACTCAGAAGAAAGGTCTCGAAAGGCAGGTGGCGGAGCAAGTGGAGGGGCAGAGAGCGACGCGGATTGGGAAGGCATGAGGGGATGGAGGAGCGCGAGAAGGGATGTCAGATCAGGCGAAGACGGGTGTGGAGGGGCATGAGGAGAGGTGGGTGGAGGGTCGTGAGGAGAGGCAATGGGAGGCATAGGAGAAGGGGTTGAAAAGGAGCAGAGGGCAGGAGAAGGATGGGAGGAGCAGGTAGCGATGGCGTTGGTGTTGCCAGCAGCAGCAGCAGCAGCAGCAGCAGCGGCAGCGGCAGCAGCGGCAGCGGCAGCAGCAGCAGCAGCAGTGGTGGAAGGAGGGATATCCAGGGGAAGATGGGGAGTAGAAGCTCTGTCGAGAGGGCAGTTGGATTCTGAAAGGATGCGGGAGAGGAGGAGCGCGAGAGTCATGATAGCTGATGATGATGATGATGATGACGATTCCTTTGCAGCATCTTCGTTCCTCCTCCTCCTCCTCCTGCTCGTCTTCTTTCCCGTCCACTCACTCTTACCTTCACCCTCCCGCCCTCCCTCTTGCCCCTCCTCCCGCCCTCCTCTCAGCCCTTTCCCCTGTTCCTCCACCCCTCCGGCTCTCATATGTCCTCTGAGCATCTCTTGCATCGCACCTGAGCCACTCCCGAGCTCCTCAAAGCTGCTGGGAAGCCTATACGCGTTATTGACAGCCTCCTGATCACATCCACCGCCTTCGCCTAACCTTATTGCGGGTTCAAACGAGTCCCATATCTGGGGTGTGCTCGAGCCAGCTAGTAGCAACGCCAGCGATTGCTGCTGCTGCGGTTGTTGCTGCTGAGCCTCCTCCTTTGGTTTCCACCACTGCTCCTCGCAATCGCCCTCATCTTCAGGGCTTTGAAACCCTTCGACTGTAGGAGCATATGCAGCCTTACTCTCCGGCTGCTGAGACCCATGACTCCTCTCCATCTTCCTCCTCTTAGCTTCTCTTCTCTCCTGCAGTAGCTGAACACTTTTTCCGTCCGTTTCAGCTGCTGCAGATGCTGCCTTGTAACCATCACAAGCAGCAGCACCACCACCACCGCCAGTCCCACCAGCCAGTCCTTTTCGTCCAAGTGTGGAGCTCCAGTGGTCCTCAACCTTAATGTCCTCTTTCCTAAGCTCCTGACAAATCACCCCACCAGCCAGTCCTTTCCGCCGAAGTGCGGAGTTACAGTGGTCCTCAACCCCACTGTCCTCTTTGTTACGCTCCTCACAACTCGTCGCAGCACCCATCCGTTTCCGTCTAAGAGCCGAGTTCCAGTGGTTCTTAATCGCATTGTCCGTGCGCCCAGGCAGGTACCTCGCAATCTGTGCCCACTTATTCCCGTGCCGCGCGTGCGCCTGCGCGAGAATCACATCCTCCTCCGCGCTAAAGGCGCCGCGCTTCACGGCCGGGTCCAGCTGGTTGCACCACCGCAGCCGGCAGCTCTTGGCGCTCCTTCCCGGAACCTTCTCCGCGACCTTGTTCCAGTGCCGCCCGCCTAGCTTCCGCACCATGCGCAACAAGATCTCGTCCTCCTGAGGTTGGAAAAGTGGGCGGGGAAGGGAGGGGAGGGGAGGGGAGGGGAGGGGGACGGACGATGAGTGATGGGACGTGAGGGACTCAGGCAGTAGCCTTTCAAGTGCCGCCCGCCTAGCTTCCGCACCATGCGCAGCAATATCTCGCCCTCCTGTTGTTGGGTTAACGAGTAAGGAGTGAGGGGAACGGGGGGGAGGGGAGAAAGAGGAAGAGGAGCGGAAGGGAGGGGAACTGAAGCAAGGGTGCCTTGAAATTTGCTTGATAATCAGTGGAAGAATCTCCATCGGATCGTCCCATCCTGCGTGGTGCCCAGATGCTAAGTTGGTGCTGCTGTTCCATGCAGGGAATGCGCACCTAGACTGTCCAAGTTCCGCGGGCAGTGTCTATATAAGGAATCTCAGAACCAAACTCGAAAGTACTATTCTGTTGCGGGG